AGACAGACCCTGAAGCAGCTGTGAATGGCAACCAATCAGCTCATTCAGTGGAGCTTTGAACATGAAAACTAGAAGTGGACTGGCTGCCATGTACAACTGCTCCAGATTTGATAAATTTACTTCAATGACTATTAAAATATATATCGCATATTTCAGCAACAAAAATGTGTGTTTTTCCAATTGGTCAGTTTATGGTTTAAAGGATAAAAAAAAAAAAAAAAAAAAAAAGTATCTTTAATGTCAAAACATACCAGTAACCCAAACTCTGCCTTACATTTGTTTTCCTAGAGCTTCTTGAACGTTAGTGTCCAAAAGAATCAAAAATTAAGAGACCAAAAAATAGTCAGTAGGGAAGAGATTGGGGTGTAGGAAACCAATTATGGTCCATTACAAAAGTGACCAATTAAAAATCCATTTAGTTGCAGGTATAAAAAGAGCCTTCTCTCTTAAAGCAGTTTTCTACTTTAAGCAAAAAATGGACTTCTACTTCCTATGGGTAGAGGCTCAGAGGGTCCCTCGTGCCCCCCCAATGCACTGCACTTAAAAACTGGTATTGTGTCTTTTTTCATCTATATGATGGTCTAAAAGGAAATTAACCACTACATGGGCTGACCTAGCTCGTGGAGACAAGTAGCAAATCCACTCAATGTGGATTATTCCAACTCTTCCGATATCCAGATTATCATTGTTGGTGTGTGCACAGATTTGACTGCAGCATAACTGATGACTTAATTACAATGTTTAATCTAGAAGTGGCATGTGTGAGAAGATGGAGACAATGTCTTGATGGTGGTTTGAAAATGCTAGTCACTCTCCTGTAAACAGGTATACCCCATACAGATAGGAAGGGAGTACCCCATGTTTGACGTGTAAATATGTGCATGAGGGCAATCTTGTATAGATTTCACATTATATTGTAATGGTAGCCTTAAATCTAATGAAAAATGTTTGGAATGGAGTTGAGTTTTAAGCATGGAGTACATCATGTATATAGGTCTAAGGAGCAGGGCCCTTTGATTCCTTCTGTATTAAATTGTATTGTATCTGTACTGTCAGCTCTCATGTTGTAAAGCGTTGGCCAAACTGCTGGGGCTATATAAAACCAGTATAACAATAATAATGTAAGAAAACATGGCTTCCCCCCATGCAAATACATAATTGCCAAAAACATTTTTTTTCTTTTTTTTAACATTAATGCAAAGCTATCAAGGTCAAGTGATGATATTCATTTGTTTGCCTACAAAGAAAAAAAAAAAAAAGGACTTGTTTGTTCACACTAGTACATTGCCACAATGCACATAAATCCAGATATGCCCCATTAAAAAAAAAAAACAGCACTCCCCAATGCAGATGGTTAAACATCACTAGCACACTGTGGTGCATTGGAGTTCTATACAAAGTTTACCATCTCTTTAAGAGGGAGCTACAGAACCCATTCACAGCAGTGCTCAGCACTATTGCTCTGTACATTTGCACGTTTTACCATTTGTTGATGCAATGTGCTGGTGTGAACACCATCTGACTATTATACAGGTATTTTAGAAAGCAGCAAAGAATAGAGTTATTGCTTACAAGGGAATGTTGGAGGAGGGATGTGTATCACAAAACATTAGCCCATTTTTCATTTAAAGTGAAAACACCCTTTTGACTCTGAATTTTTTTTTAATACAAGATATTAGTAAACTTTTAATTAACAAAATGTGTGCAATACCAGATTACACTTGCATGTAAAAGTCAGAGGTAGCCTTAGTGTTCAAGTTACAGATTACACTTGTGCCAATAACAAGCTCTAGGAGTTCTAAGTTCGAAAAACTTACACTAACATGGTGAACACAATACGGAAAGGCTAGAATGGAACAAATAGGACAATGAGACCTTTGCGCTGCTTTACTTTCCAAGACATCGCAAAAGCTGAACTTAAATACACTGATCATACGATCTAATATAACAGGCTTTACACTAGCAAAGCACTAGACTAAAAAAGAAAAAGAAAAGAGAAGGAACAGTACATAGATACTTTACAGTGTCTCAATGGTTCAGCAGGCTGTGCTTTCATCCCTGGTCCAGATTGGAAGGAAATAGAAGGCAGCTGGTTTAATATTGCACCGATACATACCACATTCACTGCAGTACACTTAACAAGCAGTAAAATACATCTAAAAAATATCCCACCCCCACATAACCAAAGAGGCAAACACAAGCAGCAGAAAAGGAACGATATGTAGGTACTAGAGCCAAAGGATGAAAACCCAGGGGCACTTGCATTTAAGCACTGGCACCAATGGAAGCTCCCTGTATATTATGCCTATGGAGTGTGGATTGGGGTTTCTGCTACGTGCAGGTAATTGGGTTGATTTACCAAACAAATCCACTGCTCACCTACAAGGATTTTTACACTTTGAAAATACATTTTCACCAGAGTTTAGTGAGTGAAGTGAAGCTCTGCGAATTTCCGTCATACAATCATATGCAGACATGTGCATCTTCTTTGCGTGTGACTGAGGATTCTTTGCAAAGTGAAGTTTCACCACATTCACTACGCAAAATGTAACTTCCCTTGCAAAGTGATATTTACCATTGAGCCTAATGAGTTCAGCCAGTGCAAAATGTATTTATAAGCTGCCTAGCATCAAAAATAACGCAGGCTCCATTCATACATTTACATTAGAGAACAGTATGCAGGTTTGTGCATTTTACTAGTATTAGCATATGTGCTCATCTATTTGTACATGTTAAATTAGTTTTCTTGAAATGCAGCAGTACACTACATTGCTTCAACAGCTGAACATCCCTATAGAAGATTATTGGACATCCTATTAAAAAACAAAAAAAAACATCCAAGGCAATTAAGGAGTTCTCCCACTTTTGCAGCTATAAAGGCCCTTCTACACAGGCAATCTGTTCAGGTCCACCTATCAGTTTTTCAGGTGGACCTGAATGGAAGATCCATGCATTCCTATGGACCAACAGGTGTAAATGGCTTGTGTCAGTTTATAGCAAAAAGGACACAATGGTGTCTGGGTAGAAGAGGATATTCTAGCAAGATTCTGCCATCTAGGGTGTGACTCAAATAGTTCAAATATAAATTGTGTGGCATTTACCTTTATAATGGGACTGGCGTTGAAGCTTATCGCAGTATCATTCATAATGACAACTGGAGAGGGGCAGTTTAAAGTGTATAAGCTTCAACAATGAACTTCTCTTATTGTCTCCCAAACATACTATTAAAAGAGTTTTGATGTATGTGATCATGAAGTGAAAAAAAAAAAAAGGCAAGGAAAAGTAGAGAGGGAGGGGTTTTGAAGTTTAAAACAAATAATGTCGTAATTTGACAATTCTGCTGTATAGATACAGCATTATAAAAAAACTGTTACCCTAGGAAAAGAAATGTGTTACTGGCTGGATTAACAGATGACAAAGAAAAAAGCCTTAAATAGAAAAAAAAAATTATACAGCGACCACATCTACAGGGTAGTAAGCTGCAATATATTATTTTTTTTGCCCTTGGGTTTATATGCACTTTAAATGGGAAAAACAAATTTTGGTCTTGGATGTTTTTTTTTTTACAGTAGTGAATGGTTGCCACCTGTTCCTAATTTAGAAGATTTGCTTTTAAATGAGAGTAATACCCTCTTAGACACATTTATCCCTGAACAGGAGCCCCCACTGGAAGATTTCACCTCCATTCACCACTTTATCCAAAACACAAAAGTTTCACATGCGGTTAATAAATGCTGTTTATCAAACAATACATCACTATGGGCATCTTCTTTTCTTGACCCCTTGCGGGAAGCATCTTTTTTTAGACACCTTAACCCGCTCTACCCAGTGAAGGAGTCTTACCCTTTTTGATGGATCTGTACCTAGTTTACCCTTAAAGGGAACTTTTTAACCATGTATGTGCCATCCGTGGATCCATTTTGCCTGAGGGAATCTACCCATCTTTACCACCCAGATGACCACTTGCTGAACTGTAGGATATCTACACTGCACATTTAATGTGCACATCTGGTGAGTGTGCATTTCTCACTTTATTTTACCTCCATTGGGACTATTCTTATTATATTTTAGTAATTTATCACTGGATTTTACTGTTGAGGTTTTATTTTTATTTTAGCGCTGCACTTTTTTACATATGTCTTTGTGAGGATTGTTATTGGTTATCCTGTGTGCCCAGCTGCTTTATTTGAAAAGCGCTCACTTATTATACCATTTCACTTGTATAGAAGAAAATATTACTGTAAAGCACAGGACCCAACTAACCCATATTTACTGCTTGTTAAGTATAGCTGTTTTTTTTAAACCCACATATAGGGGTTCACACAAGGGCAAGATTTATTAAAACCAGAGAGGAAAAAAGATAAAGTGCTTAAAACTATAATAGAATAGCTTGATCTGGATCCTATAGGCAAAATAGATCGTTTATCCTTGAATTTTAGGTTTTTTTCTTTTTAATAAATCTGCCCAGCAGAGCCCATATTCTATTAGCTAGTCACCCAACAACTACACACCAGAACTACACACAGAGCTCTTAATCTGTGGGAGAGCACATTTGCCATCCGAACTCTGGACCACAATAGTGTTAAAAAGGTTTAAAAAAAAAAAAAAAAAAAAAAAAAAACTTTTCAGTGGCCTACTAATTCCAGCTGTATTTTTTTGCACAGTTGCACAACATTTCACCAAGTGTAAAAGGGAATTGTATCTCACACTCGGAGAGGACAGATGACTAATTTTACCACTTACAATAAAACAGATTTCTTTAGTTTAAGTTGGTCTTTGAGCCTTTGGGATTTTGAAGTATTTACAAAACAGAAGTTGAATAAACGGAAAGTCAACACAAACACAGAAGACCGTAACCATAAAAATATGGTACAAAAATATACATAGTTACAAAAAAATACAACAGAAGTTATTACTCCACGACACTAGGCTCTCTTGGGAGTGATGGCACGCAGTGAGACGAGGAAAGAAAAATTCCCCAAACCACCAAAGCAACTTACCTTCTTGTTAATTTTGAAGTTAATTTACTAAATAGATTAGTGGAGCCTCTACTTCGAGTCTGTGACAGAGGTGTGGCTTCGTGGGATAAACTGGGCGAGGCGGGTGGTCCATTGTAGGTAGCAGTGCGTCGCTCCCGGAGCTGACCATGGAAAGTGCTTCGGCTGGCAGTTCCTCTGGGGAATCGCATGCGGTCTGGAGTAGTGGTGCTTGTTATGCTGTGTGTTGATGCTACAGATGTCCTCTGATCAGGCATTGTGCTGTGGGGACAAATACAATTAAAGTCATTGCCATATAGTTTGAATAAAAGGTAGCTTTGGCTCTTAAAAAGCAATAAACTCACTGAAATGTTATGTTCAAACGACACTATTGTGACACTTATAAATGCTTATGAAAAAGATCCATGAACTTAGCAGATGTGTGCTTTATCTATATCTATATATATATATATATATATACACATACATATACAGTCAGGTCCAACACATCAACACAATTCTAACATTTTTGGCTCTATACACCACCACAATGGATGTGAAATGAAACGAACAAGATGCGCTTTAACTGCAGACTGTCAGCTTTAATTTGAGGGTATTTACATCCAAATCAGGTGAACGGTGTAGGAATTACAACAGCTTGCATATGTGCCTCCCACTTGTTAAGGGACCAAAAGTAATGGGACAGAATAATCATAAATCAATCTTTCACTTTTTAATACTTGGTTGCAAATCCTTTGCAGTCAGTTACAACCTGAAGTCTGGAACGCATAGACATCACCAGACGCTGGGTTTCATCCCTGGTGATGCTCTGCCAGGCCTCTACTGCAACTGTCTTCAGTTCCTGCTCGTTCTTGGGGCATTTTCCCTTCAGTTTTGTCTTCAGCAAGTGAAATGCATGCTCAATCGGGTTCAGGTCAGGTGATTGACTTGGCCACTGCATAACATTACACTTCTTTCCCTCAAAAAACTCTTTGGTTGCTTTTGCAGTATGCTTTGGGTCATTGTCCATCTGCACTGTGAAGCGTCCAATGAGTTGTGAAGCATTTGGCTGAATATAAGCAGATAATATTGCCCCAAAACACTTCAGAATTCATCCTTCTGCTTTTGTCAGCAGTCACATCATCAATATATACAAGAGGACCAGTTCCATTGGCAGCCATACATGCCCACGCCATGACACTACCACCACCATGCTTCACTGATGAGGTGGTATGCTTAGGATCATGAGCAGTTCCTTTCCTTCTCCATACTCTTCTCTTCCCATCACTCTGGTACAAGTTGATCTCGGTCTCATCTGTCCATAGGATGTTGTTCCAGAACTGAGAAGGCTTTTTTTAGATGTCGTTTGGCAAACTCTAATGTGGCCTTCCTGTTTTTGAGGCTCACCAATGGTTTTTATCTTGTGGTGAACCCTCTGTATTCACTCTGGTGAAGTCTTCTCTTGATTGTTGACTTTGATACACATACACCTACCTCCTGGAGAGTGTTCTTGATCTGGCCAACTGTTGTGAAGGGCGTTTTCTTCACCAGAGAATGAATTCTTCGGTCATCCACCACAGTTGTTTTCCGTGGTCTTCTGGGTCTTTTGGTGTTGCTGAGCTCACCGGAGGGTTCCTTCTTTTTAAGAATGTTCCTAACAGTTGTTTAGGCCACGCCTAATGTTTTTGCTATCTCTCTGATGGGTTTGTTTTGTTTTTTCAGCCTAATGATGGCTTGCTTCACTGATAGTGACAGCTCTTTGGATCTCATCTTGAGAGTTGACAGCAACAGATTCCAAATGCAAATAGTACACTTGAAATGAACTCTAGACCTTTTATCTGCTCATTGTAATTGGGATAATGAGGGAATAACACACACCTGGCCATGGAACAGCTGAGAAGCCAATTGTCCCATTACTTTTGGTCCCTTAACAAGTGGGAGGCACATATGCAAACTGTTGTAATTCCTACACCGTTCACCTGATTTGGATGTAAATACCCTCAAATTAAAGTTGACAGTCTGCAGTTAAAGCACATCTTGTTAGTTTCATTTCAAATCCATTGTGGTGTTGTATAGAGCCAAAAATGTTAGAATTGTGTTGATGTCCCAATATTTATGGGCCTGACTATATATATCTATCTATATACACACACCTCTCTCTCATGTCGATTTCCATATATATATATATATATATATATATATATATATATATATATATATATATATATATATATATATATATATATATATATGGAAATCGACAGTAAAGATAAGAATTTCATCATAAACTACCTAAAAAGCACTTTGTTTATGGGCTTAATTTTTAGTATTTTTTTTTTTTTGTTTGAAAACATATGCCGTCTTGTCCCCAACTGCCATAATATCCCTGAAAAAACAGTTGTGCCACTGATGCACATTTCATGGCCAGACCAAAGATGACAAAGCCATCAACCCAAAACATATTTGGGTCCAAAAAGTATCTAGTACCCTGAAATCTGATATTTAATTGAGTTGATGTCAATGAGGTGATTTACCCACCAAACTTAAGACCCATTTCACACAGCTGGTTTGTTGCAGCCTCTGGATTCCTGCAACAAGAATCTGCAGACTCTTGCTGCAGGAATGACCAGGTTATGCGATCATCGGCCACTCGGTCCATTTAAACCAATGGCGGGCTCACATGTAGCTGCACACAGAGCGATTAGTTGCAGTACAAGCTGTCAGCAGTAAGGGTTGATGGTACTCGTAGTTCATACATTCACACGAAACAGTGAATGAATAATGTGGGTATGTGGGCTGAGACCCGCATGGCCACAATGCTTCTGAATTGAAACAGAGGGTGTGGGGAGTGGATCTTCCGCCCACTGTAAAAATGAGGGGGCGATCTACCGAATTGGCTGCTGGGCCACGTTCCACCTTAAATACATGTTCCAAAAGGTGAACTTATCCTTTAAGGAGCCAGGAGACATTAGTTCTCATTAATTACAATAGTGAAGAATATATGAAGTTGGATTGTCTTGTTAAGCCACCTTTTTAGACGTTATGAGAATGGCAAAATGTCAGTGATAATTTCTCATCTCTGGTCACTGCGGTCCATAAAAGCGTTAAGGATCCCAAGTGTAAATCTAAATACAGTGCATTCAAAATTGAAATAAGTGGATTTCCACTTTAAAGTTCAAGGAAATCTTCCATATACATTTATGAATGTTAGTAGTAGTGTTTTGGAAACGTCATGATATTTCAGGTTTATTGCTCATGGAGGTTTATTCACATCTAGGTACATGGTTTATACTTTTGGAACAAAGCCGGATTTAAATGATGAATTTATGTAATTTCATCTGAAATTAACGCCACTCTGGCTAACATACCAAAGCAATATGTGTATTTTGTGCTTGAATGTTACCAGAGATGTGAATGTAGCCTTAACACAGACAGAGGTCTTCAGTGTCAGGGAAGAGTAATGGAGAGATACATCAGATGCTTTAGAAGTAAAACAGTGAAAGCCAATGAAGAAAATGAATGACATCGGAATGCAGGCTAGAATTTCACAAGAACTACAAGTTATGTACACAAACAGTCACATGTCACAGTGTCAGGAGAATTTAGTACAACGCTGTAGTGTGGAGACCTACTGCACTATAAACAAGCATTATAAGTAACAGCAATTTAAAATGAACCTGTCATTAAATACAGCATAATTTGTCCTAAGGATTCCCTACATCGGACGTATTTCAGTTAAAGGTAAAATTTGGGTGTCCGAGTCATTTGTTGATTCATCATTTCTTTCGGAGATTCCAAAAATGAAATCTCTCCACCATAGTATCTGCTTCTTTTTCCACTTCTCCTGCTGCATTTTTCAGAATATGAAAACAAATCCAGCAACAGAGTGGGACTTTCTGGTGATAGCCACAGCGATTTAACCATAATGGAAAATGTTTGGTGGCTTTATCTTTAATTATTCACAAAAAAATGCATCACTATCATTTCTGAGGGGACAAATCATGCAACATACACGCCACACACTAATATATACCGTATTTTTTGCTCCCTAAGACGCACCTGATCATAAGACGCACCTAGGTTTTAGAGGAGGAAAACAGGAAAAAACATATTCTGAACCAATGGACAGCAGACACAGTACAGGAGATGACCAGAGACTGCGGACACAGTACAGGAGATGACCAGAGACTGCGGACACAGTACAGGAGATGACCAGAGACTGCGGACACAGTACAGGAGATGACCAGAGACTGCGGACACAGTACAGGAGAGGACCAGAGACTGCGGACACAGTACAGGAGATGACCAGAGACTGCGGACATAGTACAGGAGATGACCAGAGACTGCGGACATAGTACAGGAGATGACCAGAGACTGCGGACACAGTACAGGGGATGACCAGAGACTGCGGACACAGTACAGGAGAAGACCTTTGGGGAGCAGAGGGGGGTACCCAAATTTGACAGGTACCTGCTCCCACTCCCGTGGAGTTGTCCATCCCCCTCCCTCCCCGTAATCTTCTGGGACACGTGACAGCTCCCAGAAGATTAGAGGGCCGTTCACAAAGCGCAGCGCCTCTCGCCCCTGAAGCCGCAAGCTGTCACAGCCGGGTGCCCATGTCGGCGCTGGGGAGAGAAGACTGAGGACACCGCTGGACCAAGGAACAGGTAGGACCGCTGGAGGTCTGCAGAGAAGAGCTGAGCGGCCGGCCCGGTATTCTAACACGGGGGAAATACCGGGCTGGCCGCTCCATAAGACGCACGGACATTGGAGCAAAAAATATGGTACACACACACACACACACACCATGGTAAATACCTCATTTTATAGCTTACTTGACCTACAACATGCCCTGGCTCCTTCCCATTAGTCAAAGAACTAGCTGATTGTTCAGGCAGGCAACTATGGGGAGGCTTGGAAGAAAGAAAAAGGGTATCTGACTCCCGGCGATCACAGTTCTTGGTTCATTGTGAAAATGTTGTGTTTGAGATCGAACTGTGCTAATGTCAGCAGGACAGTTGCACAACCTCTTGAGGTCTATCTACCCCAACTTCCCAACCCAAAGCAATGATAAAGGGAAGAGGAGGCACCACTCTGATTTAGCCATAAAAACAACCAAAGGGTTAATTTTTCTGTATTAGAAAGAAAAAAAAACATTTTAAAGGCCAAATCTGGGCTGCTGTTAAATTTAGCCATGCAGGGGGATATCCCAACACACTTCATGCATTAAATGCTTGCTGGGCTAGTTGGGAAAGTAGAAATACTTATCTTATTTCTCACTCCCCCTAACAGTGGTCACGCTTTTCTGCCCTGGAATTTGGACGGGCCCTCACTGTTCTCACATACAAAACAGATCTGCAGGTTCTGCATTGTGTGTGATGACGTCAGTCAGGCAGAGAAGTGATGCAACTGGTCACATAAAGAGAAGGAAAGCCTGTCAGAGGCATTAGGTATTTCTACCTATTGCTGTCCCTCTAAATAAGCAAACATTTAATTGTGGAGTACAGGGGGACACACTGCATGAGAAAATTAAACCGCAGTTGGACTTTAATACTTTCAATAATAAATGTGAATATATCCGGTTTAATAAATATGATGCATTTAATGACAAGTTTGCTTTAATGGGACATCAACGAACAATTTGAGGGGATGGTTAAGAGAGCAGCCTGGGTTTAAATCAATATTTCCGCCCGTAGGACTGCAGTTTGGATCAAACTGCTGCACAAAGTTACTCGAACAACTTCCTCCTCTCACTGCCACCTGGTTAGAACTAGGCTTCTGACCCACTGACCTCAGCAGGAAGACAGCAAGCACAAGAGGGGAAGAGAATACTTCAGGAACTTTGCTGCACCAGCTCCCTGCAACTGCTACTGTGAGAAACCATTATTAAAAGTAAATGTAAAGCACCTTTTTTCTTGTTTTGGACAGAATAGGAAGGGGTTAAAACTTGTGCCCGACAAGCTTTCTGTGCTTAGAGATATGCAGTCCAAAGCACAGATAAGCCCTGTTATATATATGCCACAGAAATAGGTGTCCCCATTGAAAGATTTCTTCATCCTATTTCGGTAAAGACTCACAATTTTCGGTTTTCCCTTACTATCAATGCCAGCAACAACCACCACCAGGACAAGCAGTGAGTAAAATCTCCCCAGTGGGGACACAAACAGTAATGAGCAGGGCTTTTAACCCTCCCCTACTCCATCCACAACAAAAACGTTTTGGCTTTAAATATACTTAAACAGTTTTGGGTAGAGCTCTTATTTTCCACAAATTATGCTGTAATGGCAGGAATATATAATATTTCTATGAGTCCACAAATGACATTGTTGCTATGGAGAACATTTAGGCACTTTTTACTACAAGAAAGGAAAAGACGAAGAAAAAAATAAATAATGACCCAGCAAGCAATACAATACCTGGGCTTTGTATTACAACTGGGGGGACAGACCAACACCGAGGGGCAGTGAGGTACATGTTAGTTTGACATTACTTTCTGACCAGGGAGGGGTAGATTTGGTTTATTGTGTTATACGTATGTGTTCTTTTCTTACACAGGCTCGAAGTTATCTGCTTCACTGGCAATTGGCGGTAACATCTCCGAATGCCTGGAGGCTGACATGGACATCGATTTCGGATGCCGCAGCCGAGCAAAGATGGAGGATATGGCGAATACTGAGGCAGGACTAGTTGCATAAGTGAAAATTCCTGTCAGGCTGCGATGGGGAGGGGGGAATAGGTTTGGGCAGACAGAACAGTATAATGGACCAATAAAACAGGCTCACATGATTAAGAGCAGAAAATTCTACAGATAAAAAAAAAAAAAAAAGAAAATAATCTTGTACTGTCATACATCATTTTTAAACAAACACTGCACAATTTTCATTTACTCCTATGTTATCCATTCAGGGGTAAAAGTCATGTGTAGAAAACTTCCTCCGCTCCCGGAGGTGCTAGCAATGAATGCTGATTGAAGGAGAGGGTGTCCTCCTTTGAACCATTTTGCCTTTCTGAAACTGAGAAGTAGCGCTGTGTGCCCATGGCCACGGGCAATGAGACGGCCTGCCTGCTTCAATTCACTGACATCTCTGTGCTGTGTCGAGCAACATTATGCAAATTTCCGCTCGAGCGCCACAACACGTACTGACCTACATAACACTACGTAAAAAGGCTGTTGCTGGAATTGGGGGGCGGGGTTGCTTTAAAAAAGACTGCAGGGCTTTAAAAATAAATCTAAAATCTATTTCAGTGACAACACAAAATTAACCACTTCTGCCCCAGCAACAATGAGGGTGGATTTAGCTCCCTTTTCACCCAAACAAATGGATGAGTGGTAAACTGTTTATTTCTGGTCATGTTTTTTTTTTTTTATGACCCTAGCAGGGGATCTTCTCCTGCTACTGCCATAGCCACGATGGCCTGGTTCAGCAGCTCAGCTACTTGTAATAAGTCTGTAAGAGATATATATATATATATCTCTATCTATATATCTATCTATCTATATATATATATATATATATATATATATCTCTATCTATATATCTATATATCTATATATATCTCTATCTATATATCTATATATCTATATATATCTCTATCTATATATCTATATCTATCTCTATCTATATATCTATATCTATCTCTATCTATATATCTATATCTCTATATATCTATATATATACATACACACATACAGATATATATATATATGTATTTATAACACTAGAATGTGGGATCGTGGATTAAAAAGAAAGATTTGAAAGAAAGTCCAATTTAAAGTGACCCTTGCCATTCCTCTTGCTATCCCCCTGTCAGTACCTGTACATAGTGGTTGTTGCAAGCTTCTTATTGCACATCCCTATAGAAAATCCTTAGACATGAGCTGTGAAAAGTCTGTGACAAATCGAGTTTACCTTTGTTAGTCTGACCCATCATCAGCCTGTTCAGTCTTCCTGGATACAATGTATTGTCCCTTCTTTACAGATTGGTTGGAATTTTCTGCTGGCTAACCTTTTCCCACAGAAAGACATGACAGCCAAAGGGGACAGCAGGGATGAAGGCACATAAGAGCGAATATGCAAAGTCGATTTTTACACAGCTGTTATCTAGGGATTGTTGTAGAACTTTGACATGTAAAAATGAGCAACAGTCTATTCATTGCTTAGCACTTAGTAAATTTTCCCGATTTTGCAGATCAAATCCAAGCAAAATGTGGTTGTAAGTGGCCAGGTTGAACCCTTTTCATTTGTATTTTTAAAATATCCAGTGGCTTTCACTACACTACAGCTATCATTACACATAACAGGTAATACAGATCTATGAATTACTATTACGGGATGCCAATGGACTAAAACTTCATATTTTGCCATTATTATCAGTGCAACCTTAGAACATGATATCAGCATAAGAATCAAAACAATTAGAAAAATAATGTGCTGCTGCAAAGCCTTGCATAGGTAAAGCATCGGATATTTCAGAACAGTCCAACATTTATTTCATACCTGTTCTCTTTGCCGTTCTGAATGACTGAGTGCCGATCGGTTGAAGCGCGCTCGCTGCACACGTAAGTATTCCGACGGGTCATTCCTCCGGATGTAGAATTACTCTGATGGGAAAAAGAAAAAAATACATTGAATTTTTGAGTGTAAAATCCTACACTTTCATAAATATCCTTTTTTTTTTTCCTGTACTTTCATCTTATGATGTGACCTAGATGGGGACCCTTAACATTTACACTTTCTACCATGGGGCACTTTCTGGCAGTAACACAATATAATCCTGTTTAAATGTCAGTTCCATAAACCGGCACAGTTTTCCCACAGCAAGAGAGGTCATGTTAAAAGTACAAGATTTTGGCACGCATCATGTTTGGAGTGACAAATAATCCATTCCCCACCAATGGGGCCTAAAAGGACCAGTAAACCTAAAAGCAAAAAAAAAACAAAAAAACAAAAAAAAAAAAAAACTGTTTGAAAAGTTAATCTGTATGAAAAAAAAACCTACAACTATGTACAAGGTACTCAAATGTAACAGACCACATGCCAGCTTAGGAAATTAGAAACTGAAGTTGATTTTGCAGTGCAGACTGTTCTATGTAACATTCAATTTTAAAGGAGAAGTTCACCTTTTGCGAACATTTTACATGCGCCATCCATTTTTAGGGTGAAACCGGTAACATGTTCCTAATGCTGCATCCACTGCCCGATTCCCCCCCACCGTGACAGCAGTATGGGGAGAAGTTACCCGTACAAGCTGTCATTTTAAAAAACAGTGCAGCTGTGCGGGGCTCCACCCATGCAGCCGCATCATTCATTCATACAGTTGTGTGAATTACTGAACTAAAAGTCCCGACAGCCTTAGCAGCTGTCAGCTTGTAGCTCTCAATGAACTATTATGGTGCTGTGGAGCACCGTGGTGGTTCATGGAATCTTCCTGTCAGTATATCTGCTTGCCAGTACATCCCTTGTACAGGCAAGCAAGATATACTGGCAGGTCTGTAGGAGACCTGCATGGCACCAGCGATCTACTGATCACTGGTTCAATGCTGTACAGGCTCCTACAACCAAATATAATAAATGTACATTTTTTAACCTGCAAATTAATGCTTTGCTTTAATTTCAATGCAAAAAAAGGAAAGTTTTTGTTATAGGTATTCATTAAAGTTATTATAACATTGACCTAAAGGTAATTTTTCAAAAGATTTTCATATTACTTGGAAATTATTTTTGTTCATAAAAATATGATATGGGCAAAGACTGGGCATATGACCACTATACCTATATGGACTTGTTATACCCACTATTCCAAAAGCATGAGCATTAATACGGAGTTGATCCCAGGACACAGAGCTTTGTCCAATTAAAACATTCATCTATTCTTCAGTTACGTCCAATATGCTCCAGAAAAAAAATATATAGAATAGACCATGTACTTACACTGGGTACAACTGAACTCTTCTTTCTTTCAGGGATATCTGCTTTATTAGGATTGTTTGCATTTCCAAGCATCGGGCTAGGAGGGGTCACACCCCTCCCGCTGACTGCGCTGCTACTTGACTTTCGAGACTGTACCGCCTCTTCTTTTAGATCGTTATCTGTGGTGCTCGTCTGGCTTCGTTTTGGGTAAACTGTAACAGCAGGGATGGCAGGGCCAGCTACAGGAACAGAGAACACACCTGTTATTTGTCTGAAAGGACTCAGTGACACCACTCTGGGCCCTAGGTACAAACGGACAGCAGTGAAGAGGATTCACACACTACTGCAAATATTAGGACACAAAGCAAGCTCCGAGAAGGCCACTTCTAATACCTAATCATTGCAAATAGCTTCTAACAAGCTGTATGTTTAATATAAAAGTACAGTGGGTATAGAAAAGAATCACCCCAAATTAAAATAATCACATTTTGTTGCTTTGCAGCCTGAAATGAGGACACACACACACACTTTTTGTTTCATCCAGCTGTTTTTACTCCGTGCAACTTATAACATCCAAGTGAAAATGTAACACCAACATGTCAGAAAAAATTTTAAAAACAGAATCACCGAGTTGGAAAAAGGATTACTCCCCTCCTAGGAATGACTTGTAAACTCAATCATGTGCAGCTAAATCACCTTTTCAATGGCACACATAGCCATTTGACTTTCACCTGTGATCAGCTGTGGTCATTTTGATTAGCCAAGCATGCAAAGCGCTTTCCTGAAGCATTTCAGTACCTGGAAGTACAAATGAAGCAATCAACTATGGGTGGCAAGGCACTGTGAAAAGATCTATGGGGTAAAGTTGTGGACAGGCACAAGTCAGGAGATGGATACAAAAAACATAAAAAAATTCAAAGGCTTTGTCAATGCCTAGCAGCACCGTGAAGTCTATTAAGAAGTGGAAGGTATTTGGTACAACACAGACCCTCCCCAGATCAGGACGCCACTCCAACAGGTACCCGATTCCACTGCGATCGCCTAGGTGATCGGAAGCAGAGGTTGTCCTACCCCCCCTCTCTCCCCTGTAGTCTTCTGGGACACATGACAGGTCCCGGAAGAATATGGGGCCTTTCACAAAACACAGCACTGCTCGCGCATGTGCACCCGGATGTGAAGTCGCAAGCTGTCACAGCCGGGTGCCCACACTGAAGATACCGGCGCCGGGGAGAGAAGACGGCTGGTGAAACCAATCATGGTGAGAACACCGCTGGACCGAGGGACAGGTAAGTGTCTGTATTTTAAAAGTCAGCAGCTACAGTTTTTGTAGATTTATTTCAGCTGAAACTCTGCTTTAAGGTCAAATGAGACTAAAACTGAATTATTTTGTCTTAACACTAAACAATAGGTCTGGCAGAAATCCAATCCAGCTCACCATCCAAATAACACCAATCCTACAGTAAAGCATGGAGGTGGTAATATTCTGTTATGGGGGGGGGGGGGGGGGGGGGGGGGGGGGGGGGGGGGGGGGGGGGGGGGGGGGGGGGGGGGGGGGGGGGGGGGGGGGGGGGGAGTTTCTCTCCAGCAGGGACTGGATCACTTGTCAGGATGGAAGGAAAAATGGATGGGGCAAAATATACTGTCAAATTCTTGAGGACATTCTGCTGTCCTCTGCCAGAAAAGCTGTCAACGGGAAGAAGATTTACCTTCCAACATGACAATGATCCAAAGCACACATCAAACATTACCACACAGTGGTTGAAGGAGAAAAAGGTGAATGTCCCTGCAAGGCCGAGTCAGAGCCCACACTCAAACCCCATTGAAAATCTGTGGAATGACTTGAAGACTGCAGTCCACAAAAGGTCACCAGCAAATTTAACTGAACTTGAGCATCTCTGCATAGAAGAGCGGGCAAATATTACAAAGTCTAGATGTGCAAAGTTACTGGAGAAATATTCCAAAAGACTAAAGGCTGGAATTAAATACTGACACAAAGGGGTGATCTTTTTCAAACTCTGTGATTTTGTTTTTGAATTTTTTATTTTTTTCTGACAGGTTGGAGTTATAGCTTTCACTTGGATGGTATAAGGTGTAATAAGGGTAAATACATCTGGATAAAACAAAAACTGTTTGACTTCATTGTAGGCTGCAAAGCAACAAAATGTGATTTTAAAGAGGGGTGATTTCCTATCAGCTCCTGGACAGGTATTAGGGACGGACGGACGCACACACAGAAAATTTGCTTCTGGCAGGCATTGATCTATCTATAAATTACACATGGATAGGCTGAGGCAGCTTGATTTTCTGAGTTTAGATTATTTTGGTTTTGTGCTCATTCTTTTTGCCATCTTTTTGTTTGTTCTGAAGTTTTATTAAAAAAAAAAAAAAAAAAAAAAAAGGGAAGAAGCATTGTATGGACAATGTTGTGGTTTGGGATCTGTACTTATATTTTTTTGTATACATGGCTATGTATCCCTTATGTATTGCATGTGCCTAAGGGTTACATAATAAATGTGAAGTGAGCAACCTAATGTGTAAGGATGCAGGGTAATGGTAGCTATACTGATGATACTATAGTAATCATAGCTGATGAAAAATGAATATATTTAAAGCATACATCTGTAGTGGATGGTATACCGACTATAGGTCACAAGGGAAATGATGGAACTAGCACTAAAGGGGGGGGGGGGGGGGGGGGGGGGGGGGGGGGGGGGGGGGGGGGGGGGGGGGGGAGGGAAAAAAAAAAAAAAAAAAAAAAAAAAAAAGAGGGGAGGGGGTTGGGAGAGAGACAAAAATGATGAGAGTAGGACTCTAGGGAACACGTACAGCTCAGCAATGGTTTTATTTATACATATATATTTATATATGTGTTTACTTATACTATGTCAATTGCCCCTGTGACTCCTCCACCTGCATAGGGGAGTGTCCAGGACGACCCATGTGACCTTTGGTTCAACTAGTAGTGAGCATATAAAAGAGGGAGCAGACATTTGGTCAGTTGGCTCTGAGGAAGAGGCAAGTCCTCGAAACGCGTCAGCCTATTGGATGTCTACACTCCCTATTGTGGACTGTCACTCAGCGCGGTGTTGACCCAGCTGTTCTTTATGATGTGCCTTGACTATATTGTCGTTTGTGAGTACAAAACATACTTTATTTTTTATGGTAATGCACTAGGCCTGTGCGCCCTCTCTTTGTTCTTTCCTCAGTCAGTATATTTGGATTTCCCCGGTCTATTGAGGGCAGCAAGGTGTGCATGTTCCAGGACATTCCTTATGTGGTTGTAGCCTGCATCGAGTCCATCCCCAAGCACAGGAGCATTTGTGTTTGCTGGTTCTTTGTTCAATAAAAAAAGATCTGATTTAAAAAAAAAAAAGGGGGGGGGGCGATTCTTTTCTATACCCACTGTATACTCTTTAGGATGAGGGAATTTCTAAATTGATAAAGTTGCAATTCCACATTACAATTAGTACATCTAAACACCAACTGGCCTCAAAGCTCAGTAGAAGTACTGATCACTGGCAAGGTCATGCCTGTGGAGATGAAATCATAACAAAACATCTAACATACCATGTTTCAGGTACTGGGGACAGAAATGGAAGGTGATACGCCAGACACACAGAAAATGAGAACAGGAAGGATCTTACTAAGGGACCATTCAGTTCTTTGGAAGGGTGAAAGAGGGGAGGTGACACAGAAAAGTGAAGGATTTGTATAAACATGTCACCCTTCTGATTATGCTCTATAGCAGGGATGTATGAATCACAGAAATGATAAAACATTTGTTTGGTAGAATCGTTCACATAAAGGTATACATACTCTCACACATTCTCTGTATTTAGCACTTTGAGAGCACCACAGAAGATGGTTTGACTGCTAGAAAGTTCTTCAACATGCATAGCCATACAGTTCTGGTTCTCCACGCTGCACAGTACTCCCAAGAAAATCACACAATTCCAGTTAATAAGGGCTGCATTTCCTTTAAATGAAGTAACCAAGGGCTGAGTAACAAACTGCCACCGCAAAAATAATGTGAACCTGTACTGCAGTAAAAGAGTTTCGTTTACCCACCGTGGTCACTGTACCGTCTCTGTTTCTGGCTGGAAGAGATGCTTCTCTGCACCTTGTGGTGAGGGGATTGTCCAGTGCTATTATTGAGATCGCTGCTCGGTCTTACTTTAGCCAGTGACAAGTTACTACTAGAGCTGGAGTCACTGGCATCCAACTGTAAACAGGGGACATGTATCATCAGCTGCCGTGAAGTTACATTCCAAAAGGTTAACATATAAAAAAACAGAACAAAAATGACACCCACAAAGTATCCACACTTGTGTATTATAGATCCCCTTTATGCAAAAACATTGTTATTACCAATTAGTGGGCATTCTTTAAAGATTCACTCCTACATACACCCAAGTTCAACTCCCTGTACTCCTAGCAGATAATTGATGATCCTATTTTTTCCATGGTGACCTCACTTCCTGCAGAGGACCAACACCACTTAAGGCGCGGTTCACACTAGTGTCATTTGTATGGGCTGTTCAGCCCGAGTTTCACACGAGCATGCACCTTTTCTGAAACGCATCAGCATGGAAACTGCAACGCCTACATCTGCAGAGCATGTACAAGATCTCGCTCTCTAGTCCAGTTCTGGCAAGTGCAAGTTTTGGTGTAAATGCCCTAGCACAGTGGTTCTCAACCTTCCTAATGCCGCGACCCTTTAATACAGTTCCTCATGCTGTGGTGACCCCCAACCATAAAATTATTTACCCAGTAATTATAATTCATGAAGTGTCGTTTTACCTCCAATACTGCTGCTTTCTACACCGTAGCTGCTTTCTACACCGTAGCTGCTTTCTACACATCGGAAATGTGTGTTTTCCCCCCAATGGTCTTAGGCGACCCCTGTGAAAGGGTCATTCGACCCCCAAAGGGGTCGCGACCCACAGGTTGAGAACCACTGCCCTAGCAAGTGCTGCCAGGCAATGTAGTCGAACAGAAAGAGGACATTTATCAGGTGCACACGCACAGCCCCTGCATGGAGGGACAAAAAAACCCCAAAAACAATGGCACAGCTGTCATGTGACCACTAGGAAGCCAAGGAAAAAAAAAAAAAAAAAAAGATTATTTTTCAAATGTTGTGGAAATGTGCATATAGCAGTGCAATCCATGCACTACAGTGTGTTGCCTTCACATGTACTATACCAGTCTGTACCTGGGCTTGCCTTTACTGGAGAAAATGGTACTCAAAGCTCTCTTCAGTCCAAGAAAGGAAGGCTTGGCGTTACCCTTTATTTATCTATGTATTATCTACAATAAATCTACATGTATTACCTTTTCAATCAAAAGGAAACACTTCAATATTTTGATTTTTTTGAGTACAGACATTTCATAAGTAGTTTACTTTTACTGTACTGTGCTGTAAAGCTTTCTAAGAGCATCTGCCAATTCCCGTGTAGTCAGAACATGACTGGTTAAAATAGAACTACATGGAAATATTTTGTAAATGTGCTTGCATCCCATAGGACAGACGCATTGACTACAATAATGTAAATGTAAACTACATTCTGAGACCCTAGCTGTCTTTTGCGGTTTCAATTGCATGTAAGCAAACATAGGAAAGATACAGAAAAAAAAAAAAAAAAAAGAATGAAATGTTGTTTCGGGGCTCATTTACACCAACGAGCCACGCTGATCACATGGCAGCTGGGAGAGACCATGCTAACGCGCTTTGCACTATTTGCCTGTTCTCTGCCATCATAATTGCAATGGTGGTTTGCATGTACTGCAAAAAGTACTGACATCATTGGAAACAAGGCATTTTGCTTGTCTAAACATTGGGGCTGTGCTGGAAAAAGCTGTCAGCATAGCCACAAAGCATTTGGTGTGAATGAGGCCTCAGGCCCCTTTCAGATGGGATGGAGTCCATCAAGCGGATCCGCCTTCTCAGTGGGGGATCTCTCCACTGATCCAGGCTGAGCAGGCCGATGACGGGTCCATACCTGCAGAGCAGACACGGACACAGGACGCTGTTTTCTATGGGGCTGTCTGATTGAAACGGACCGCCTGTTCGTTTCCATCCAACTGTCATCCAATCCAACAGACGGATGGGGAACGATCCCCATCCATCTATTTTTAGTATACAGGATCGTATTGGATGCCGATGGGTGTCAGTGCTGACACCTGATGCTCCACAGAAAGCTATAGATGGTTTGATTAGGCCCGCCTGAAAAAATGACAGGCAGACCCAATCGGACAGTCAGTGTGAAAGGGGCCTTAGATAATACACATATTGAAAAGGGCTGCTTTAGAAAAAAGTTATACAAGTTTCAAAAGTAGAGGGTGGAGCCATGTGACTCATTCCTTTCCAAATGCACATATAGCACAGCCATGACCTAAATGTGCAACTAATTGTATAGCCTGCTAGTTTGTCCTACCTCAGAGGATTTTCTTCCAAGTAACAAGTAGGTAGCTGTTATCTCGTCGTATTTCATCTTGCTGAGGGATTCTTGAATTTCCTCTTTTGAATATCCCATTCCTATCATTATGTCTATTAGGAAACAAGAAGTCTCAATTAGTGTTTCTCAACAACGTTCTAGATTAGATTATATAGGTTTATACCGAATATAGAAAAATCCTTATTTGCCCCACACAAGTCAGACCAAGACAAGGAGATACTTTTGTAGGCAGGCTGTGATTTGCACCTTTTTACCAATGCTGTTATGTTTGATCTGTGATATTTGCAGTACCTGGAAATCATACATTTCTTTCAGTGTATAAGCATTTAGATATACAGCAAAAGGGTAGAATCTGTCTTGTAGCAACTTCCCTATATAGGATTAACGTACATCTAAAGCAAACTTTTTTTTTCTGAAGGGGAATAGTTAAAATCCCCGTCAATGTGTTTAAGTAGTCTGTCTCCTGTTGACACAACAGGAAGTGGGTGAAAATCTCTCCAAAGTGTGGGTGTAATACTACATTAATAGTTCATTTTTGTATCAAATAATAAGCTTAGGACTGCACTGCAACCATAAAGTTCACAGGAGAACCGTCTACAAAAAAAAAAGAAAAAAAAAAAAAGAAGGTGCTGCTTTTTTGGTCACTCGGCTGAGTGTTATTTTAGGACTTTTAAAGCAGGAGTAAACTCCACTTGGCCACTTGTACCTACAGGTAATTGTAGAATAAAGCTTACCTGTAGGTAAATTGAATATATCCTAAACGTTCATAATTTAGGAGATATTCAGTTCTGCAGCTGGTGACGGCTGTGAATTGAGGGCACATGGAATGTGCCGTCAACCAGAGTGTTGTGCCATGATCATGACTCCCATGCGCAAATGTGACATCATCATGGCTCGGCCATTCAAACAGCTGCAGCCCATGAATCTGCAAGGAAGACTGGGTGAAGAAAGAAGCCCTCTCAGTGGTGACAGCACGCTGCTGGAGGGATCCGTTTTACAGGAAAGTCTGTCATGTGCTAGTATGCAGTGCATATTAGCACTTCATGCCGTTAAGTTGCAGGGGTGCCGGGACCTTTTTTCTTTTGTTTGTTTGTGACTTCACTACCACTTTAAGCGCCTCTCTAATAAGGAAGATATGGTTCACTGACAAGTAGCTGAGTCATTCATTTACGCAACATATAACCGACACAACAGTACAGTTCCTTGGGGAACTAGAGGTCTGTCACCATCACAATCAAAATCAGGGGCCTGCAGTGTGAGATGGCTTTTAGCCAGGGGTCCTTCCTGAGCAAAGGACTAGAACAATGCAGAGACTGCCATCATCTACAATTAAGTGAAATGTTACTCATTCTTTTTGTCTGCTATCTAACACTCAATATAGGTAAATAGTTTACTTGCTTGCAACCTTTGCTGTATTATTTAGACATAGTCAAGCTAATTATAAATCCCCATGACATTTTTTATGACATCCCATTAAAGGAGGGAAAGTATCAGTTGTCACAGCACGTCCCACTGGAAGATTTCCCCTCTATTCATGTTCCCTTGACCATTTGAAATTTGGGATTGTTTCCTCACTTTAAGTCCTGTTAACATTCTCTATTTGTTCTGATGGCCATTGTTATTTCCCCAGCAAGAACAAAAAAATAGAAGGAATAGAAACGAGTTCCAACCCCTCACTACTATCCAAAATGAAAAGAAAAGAAAACACAAAATGTTTGGCTATAGTTATACTTTAGGGCAATGTGAACTGATTTGTCAATCTGCAGCTTCATTATTCCTCCCAATGCATAAAACAAAATCGTGTATGTAAAGCTAAAAAAAAACAAAAAAAAAAAAAAAAAAAAAAACTTCACTTTTGGGCTTGTATAGGGTAGGGTAGGTGGTTTAAAATCCATATCTGTCTGTTCTGTTGAGGAAATCTCACTGCTTCCTGTTACAGAGAAGCAAAAGAAATCTCTACAAAGCTAGAGGAATTTAGACCGTTATCACTGAAAAATTTCCTCTCTATGCTTATTTTTGTGACAACATTTCGATTTGTGATTTTCCAGCAATTTCTGTCTCAGTCACAACTTTTGCTTTATGGGCCATCAGAGGCAGGCCATTATGGCTAACACTTGCTGAAAAATGTGACAAACGTTACTGCTACACAGTCATATGCAGCTGTCCCCTTCAGAGGATATAGACTCAAGCACAATTGATTACCTATTCGTTTCTGATCTGCAATATCAAGCTCAGGCTCAACAAATGGTTTCAGCTCATCCTCTTCATGTCCTGCATTGATCCATCTGTCCTTCATTATTTGCTAAAATGGAAACACAGAGATGCAACAAGAGAAGGAAGGGCGAGGGGGGAATAAAGAAACTTAGTAAAGGCACAGCACAGGTTAAATGAGCCAGTAAGAAATCACACTGGCTGTCAAGTCTGTTTATTAAATCACACAGCACCTTCCTCTAAAAAGGAGGCTGCATACAAATTAGCAAAAAGGAGAAAACCACTTAAGCATAAGATCTTCAAAGCTTGGCAAAGGCACAGCAATATCTGTATTTGTGTTAATACACAGAGCTCATTAACTGGCTTATATTGTGGTTATATCAGCCTGTTCCCCTGTTCCAAGTGAACCCCACAGAGTGAAACCTACATCAGTGGATGGCAATCAGAGGCCACTGAAAGACTTAAAAGGGCCAAGCATCTTAAAAATGCAACACCCTTTTGTTAAAACAATGTATCAAAAAAGCCTTATGTTCTTTAGTATAGTTACAGTGGATGGCAACTAAAATGTTATGGGAAGCTTCTGATACATACTTCTGATCAAGAGCCTCCGATCATGATTGGAATGCCCACCTCAACCTCCCTGCATTTAGATTCTCTTAGAGAGCCAGGGGACAGCAGCGGGATGGAGTTAAAATGAAAACCTTTAGCACGGGTGTCGGCAACCCGCGGCTCTTTTTCACCTTTGCTGCGGCTCCGGAGCACACTGCCCACCAGGTGACAGGCAATAGGGTTGCCGTAGCTCAGTGGTCGGCAAGCCGCGGCTATTTACACACTTCAATGCGGCTCTTCTGTGTGCCGGGCCCCCCCGCTCCCCGCCCTCCTCTCGGGCGGCCGCCCCAAAAGTCAGGACTCTGCAGCTAGCCCAGCAATGGGCAAACTACGGCCCGGCGGACCTTTTAATCCGGCCCGCGGAGCGTGGCAAACATTGACTGTCAGGATGTAGGCGGGGCAGCGTGACGAACTCCTCTTCTCTCACAGTCCGCCCTGAAGACCGGAACGGCGCGGGAACACGGCGAGAGGAACGCGCGGAGCAAAGGTAAGTGAATTGACACAATATGGGGAATGAATTTCTATAGGGGGGATGAATTACTATAGGGGGGATGAATTACTATATGGGGGATGAATTACTATATGGGGGATGAATTACTATATGGGGGATGAATTACTATATGGGGGATGTATTTTCAGTTTTAAAAATGTGGCTCTCAAAATAAATTTCAATCGTGGTTTTGGCGAGATTTGGCTCAGTTGAAAAAAAAAGGTTGCCCACCACTGACCTAAGGCTATGATTGTGATTATGACGATACACTGTGGCCCCGATTAACCCTTTGCTTACTGGGCCCTTAAACCCCCTTCATGACCAGAGCGTTTTTTTGCAATATATGCAGTGTCGGATTTGTTTTAAATGTTGCAATGGTTTTGCGGCTCCCAGTCTTTTTTTCCCTCTCGGAAACGGGTCCAAGTGGCTCTTTATGTCTTAAAGGTTGCAGACCCCTGCTTTAGCAGAATACTTTACAGACTTTGATCATGTACCTCTAGAGTGCCTCTTTTGGTTGGGTTTAGCACCAGGAACCGCTTGAGAAGATTTTCACAGTCTGTTGACATGTAAAAGGGAATTCGGTACTTCCCTCGTAGTACTCTTTCCCTTAATTCCTAAAAAGAGAGAATTGTTTCATGATTTATTAAAAACGATATTTAAAGTGTATATCAGTATTAAACAGTTTATAAAGTAGCAATCGATGTAAAACAGGCATTTTGAAGTTATATGAGTGCAATGTCATAATTCAAGTCAAGAAATGTGCTACTTCACTAGCTACATCGTTATGATTCTCATCTTCTGTGGGCCCCTCCTATTCAATCTGAAAATGCAAGCGATACTTTAAGAAAATAGGATTTTGGTATGCACCACAAAATCCTTTTCCTGGAGTCCACTGAGAGACAGAGAAGTGTAACCTTCAGGTTATACTCTGCTTCCTACAGGGAAAAAAAAACAAAACACAGGCCAGCAAAGAATAACCTCCCTCTCAATACATATGTGCTTCGGTTTTGTTGCAAAGCGGTTTGGAGGCTACGAGGTTATAGGGGAGGCTCCTGTGTACCTCAATAGACTCCAAGAAAAACTTTACGTAGAGTATAAAAATCTTTTCTTTTTTTGTTGAGGGGCAAAGGAAATCTTTAAACTTTGAGATGTGTTAAAGCAATGAAGGGGTGGACAACAAAACAAAGAGAAGAATGTTAATAGAAGACCAGGTAACAGCTTTGCAAATATTGGAAACAATTGCTTGATACCAAAATGCCCAAGAATCACTTAGATCTAATATGATGTGCCTTGACAGGAAAAGGTTGAAGTTGATTGTTAATGTCAGTCTTGGATGATGGCCTGCCTGAGCCACATTTAGACTGTGGAACAAGACGTCTGTGCACCCTTACAGGGTCTAAGACAACAAAAAAAAAATCAATTTTCCTAACGAAAAATTCAAATTGGTGTGCTCCGCATTGGTAGGAGCCAAAGCAGTTTCATAATTTGGGAGTGATAGCAGTGGACCGCAACTCCTCAGGCGTAAACTCGTCAAAGACTGGAGTGACTAAGATTGTCTATCTGATTTAGCCCAGGCCTTGCTGGACTCGGACATCAGCTGTCTGATTCTAATGTAGAAGATCTAGTGATATAAGGGACTGTAAGAGCAGACGGTAAAATGACTCCAGGCTGCAGACACTGGCACCATCAGTAGGATGGTTCCAGTGTACACTACGGTCGGAATTATGTTGTTCTGAGCATTTAGATCATTTGCTGGTGAACAAAATGATGATGGGGGAGATAAGCAGCTGCATCCGAGATTCTGATCTTGCTGGAAAAAGCACAATAAGACCGTTGTGGTCTAATCTGATGGTGAGAGTCCACCTTTAGCACAAGCAGGTATATTCACTTTAAAGGGAGCTTTATGTTTACAGCACTGGCGTTGCGGTTGAACAAGAAAGAAAAGTATGGATTGGACTGGGATACATTGACTGCACTTTGTTAAAGAATGATATCATTTATCACTGACTTTTAACGACATTTTTTTTTGTATGAAGAGAAGGTTTCATAATTATAACTACTGGTGGTTTTATTTTGAATATAGAGCATTGTATATTTGTTGCACATGGATGACACTTTGTATATTTGACATTATTGGGGCAGCACTACACGTACACAGTTAATTCAAGGTTGGATAATGCCCTTGCTATAAGTGTTTGCCATTTATGTACCTCCTGAAGCCTGACTGGAATACGTCTAGGATGTTGCTAAGTAAGCCCTAGCTATTACTGCTCACCTCCTCCATCACAGGAATGAGTGCTCAAACACTGAGCTGAGCTACTGCATCAGGGAAGAGAAAGAACATTTGGGGGGGGGGGGGTGAATTAGAAGAAACTCACTCCTGTGATGGTGGAGGTGAGCAGTAATGATTAGTCCTCACTTAGCAACGTTTTAGCAATGTCCTGGGAGTATTCCAGTTAGGCTTCATTAGATACATAAATGGCATATTCCCATAGCATGGGCATCATTCAGTCAGAACTGCAGTTTTTTTTAATCTACAGACAACCCTTATCTGCATAGGCAGGTTCCGTAAAGGTAAAATAACTCTTTATTTGAATGTATTAATTGTAAATCCTCTGGAGGGCAAGTGGTTAATGTGCAGAATTATTATGCAACTAAATGAAAAATTAAGTTCCCATCTCACTTTGTTTATTTTCATCTGTTTAAGTGAGAATAATAAACAATTCACAATTTACCAACATTTAAAAAAAAAAAAAAAACAGTGACCAAGATAGTCACCCTTCTTTTAAATAACAGTCATAATCCTTCCATTCATGGGCGCCAGTTTCTTGATCTGTTGATGATCAAGTTTTTGTGCAGCAGCAACCACAGCCTTCCAGACACTGTTCAGAGAGGTGTACGGTTTTCCTTCACCGTAAATCTCCCATTTAAGAAGGGCCCACAAGTTCTCAATAGGTCAGGTGAGGAAGGGGCCACGTCCTTATTCTTTCATCTTTAAGGCCTTTACTGGCTAGTCACACAGTGGCATTCGATGCATGTGAAAGAGCATAACCATCATGGTCTTCTTGAAAGATGCAGACTTATCTGTGCCACTGCTTGAAGAAAGTGTCTTCTAAAATCTGCCAGTAGGTTTGGGAGTGGATTTTGAGTTCATCTTCAAGGAGAAAAGGTCCAACTAGCTCATCTTTAATAAGCATCTGAACCCAGCCCAGTAATTGTATCAGCCCAAAACAGTATCCACCTTAATGGTGTCTGAGTAGAAATGGAGCTCTGTGCCCGTTACTGATCTAGCCATGGACCCATCCATCTGGTCCGTAAAGAGTCACTCATCTCACCAATCCATAAAACCTTTGAAAAATTTGTCTTCAGATATTTCTTGGCCCAGTCTTTACGTGTCAACTTACCTGTCTTGTTCAGTGGTGGTCAGGTTTCAGCCTTCCTTACCTTGGCCATGTCTGAGCACTGAGCACCTTGTACTTCTGGTAGTAGTGTTGCCTCCCTAGTAGGTAGTGTTGCCTCCCTCTGAAAGACTTTTTACAATTTTTTGACTTTTCAGAGTCACAGTTATATATCTCTTTTTTTTTTCATTTTTGCCTGAGGAAAAGCAGCTACCTAATAATTATGCACGCCTTGATATAGTGTGTTGATCTCCTTAGGGCACACCATCTCTGATTACACAAATACACATCACCTGATATGCTTAAATCCAACAAGCATTCACGTTTATAAAGCTTGGAGTTGGACAATATGCATAAAAATTATGATTTGGTCAAAATACTCACATAATTGTGCACACAGTTTATGATTAGGGAACAAAATATCTAATCCAGAGAATAACAGACAAAAGATTGTATCATATTATGCATGACAGCCTCCCTTGTCATACTAAGACATCCAGTAGCAGCAACATGCTTTTAGTATCACCTGTCATGATGGCGTTAAACAAAAATGAGCCCTTTATAGTACAAAAACAGCATATAATCACTATTATAAGGGGTTCATTTATACTGTGAAACAGTGAAAGTAATAAATATTAAAGTAGTACTAAAGACAGACATTTTTACATGGATATATCCATTTGCAATATAATGCACAATAATGGTAAACCTCTACGGTAAATGTAATTGTAATGCCTTATATTACCTCTAGTCTATCAGCCTCCAGCTGGGTTCAGATGCTGATCTTCCCTGGACAGAGCCCTTAAAGTGATTGTAAACGATGGATTTTTTTAGCAAGGTAAAAAAACTTCTGCCTTTGGAATCACTTTAAATCACTTCCTTCTCCTGCCCAGGACTACATGTCCCATGAAGCATTGCTCCACACATTCACAAGTTCTCAAGCACTCACTAAGATGTACGGACGGTGCATTGCGGTGTATGTGTGCACTGTATTTCCTGATATGTAAACAAATAATGCATTCTGTATGCAGGTCGACTAATCGGCTGACCTACTAACCAATATGAAAATAGTTGACAACTATTTCTATAATCGATTATGTAGATTAGTGGTTTCAGCCCTACTACAAAAAACACTTTGAAGGTACCGCGTTTTTACACAAACCTTGGGATAACTCCCTCAAACCAATCACTCTTCATTCTCTGACAGCAAATGTGACTGATGCAACATAGGCGTACTGAACCCAGGGAGCATAAAATAGGCCAATGGGAAAGAAATCCACTTGTAGTAAATTAAAACAATACTAACATATGCGCTGCTTGTCATCACTAGGTGTGGTACGTCTATAACCTACTTGAAATAATGGAACACTTCCAAAACGGCAAAATCACATTAATTGTATAATTAGTCAAGGTGCACACAAAATGTGCTAATAAATAAAAACAAATTTTAAAAGGAAATATTTACAGAGTGGGAGGCTGCCATTGCTCATCTCTCCTTCTGAAAATGCTAGCTGCCAGGCAGATCAAGCATTCAGATGTTTTCAGGGAAGAGGTGGTGAAGAAAAAAAAACTGGCTTTTCATTGACAACCTTCAAGCTAATCTGTAGCGAACCATGTAAAGTTTTATGTGTTTGATGCCCAATGATGCTGTCAAACCCATTCACCGTGAATCCTAAGGCTGGCCATACATTATACAATTTTCTTGAGATTTTTGGTTTAGATTTACCGAAAACCATATAATATGAGGTCAAACCTAACACTTTCAATTGCATCCAATTAGGCAGGCTCTTGCACTACATAGTTGAAGGTAAATCTAAAGGAAATTGGGCAGAAAATTGTATAGTGTATGGCCAGCCTAAGGCTTTACATGTGAAATCACCTACAAAAAATGTTCCTTATGACAGCCTGTGCAGTGATCAGGAGAACGTCTGTGGTCAATGAGTGCAGAAGCCCTGTGAGCCACTGACACGCTCTCATCCGCAGGGATAGAACAATCACATGTAGCAAGCAAAGTTTTCCTGAACCCCTCCCTCATCAGAATGCCTGTTGTACACCTCTTCAGCTAGACTGTTGGCAGGAGCTACATTTTAAAGCCAACAAAATTAAACAATTAAATTGCATGTCTAGGCAAAAAATAATAATAATAAAAAAAAAGTAAATCTGTGTTACATGCACATTTCCCTATGTCTTCTCTATTCGAAATGCTGCAAGTACACAAAAAATACTAAAAACATCCCAAAGAACGCTTACAACACTGACCAGGGGCGGACTGACAACTCATGGGGCCCCCGAGCAATAGGGGATCATGGGGCCCGTGTCCTTGCCCAAACTCAAAAAAGCCTATGAAAAAGGTACCAGGGGCAACTCATGGGGCCCCCTACTGACTCCGGGCCCTCGGGCAGTGCCCGAGTTTCCAAATGGTCAGTCCGCCCCTGACACTGACCTTTCTGAACTCAATTCCAAAGCAGTGTTAGACCTGTTCTCCCCTACTGGACAGTAGAACACCCCCCCCTTAACACCCCGGTCACATCAAGCCCAACTTTGAAATCGTGCGACTTAGTGAAGTCGCACGATTTAAAAGTCGGGTGAGATTCAAATTTCAGGTGCTATTTGCAAGACATCTGACACATGTCTATGCAAATCGCACCAAAAGCAGTACATGTACTACTCTAGAATTCGGTGTGGTTCCGACCAAGTCAGAACCGCACTGATTTCACTGCTGTAACCGCGGACAATAGGGTGGCGACTTGGCATACGATTTGCAAATCGCATGCAACGTCGCACCGAGTGCGACCGGGGTCTGTAATCCAGCAAGAGAGAACTGGACAGAGCTGGCAACCCTGCTCAGGATTCCAGTACAGCACTGTGTAAACCCAGCAGGAAGACAGGACCTGAGCATATTTCGCAGTAGATTACCAGCGGTTTTTGGTAGATTGCAGAAATTTTAGAGACAAAAAAAAATTTGTACATGTATTGCAGAGATGAACTGCAGACAGGAAACAAAAACGGTAAAAAGGTCTGAGAAATAAAACATAGCAGGAGATGCTTCGGGACCTTAGTATGTACAATCTTGAGGAAAGAAGGGAAAATGGCGATAACACGCAAAGCTTTAAATACATAAAAGGTACGAATAGGATTCAGTAGGGCAATATTTTCAATATGAAGCTATGATCAAATGATCAAGAACACAGAGACATGACCTCACACTAGCAGGAAGAAAGTGTAAAACCTTAGAAAGTATTATTTTACCAAAATAGTAGTGGATGCTTGGAATCTACCTCCAGCACTGATGGTGAATTAGTCAACAGTAAGTGAATTTCAACATCCTTGGACCATTAAACCGGCAGGTCCACAGCAACCAGAGTGAGGTAAGTACTGCAGAGCATAATGAAATATGAGGCTTGAGAACTAGAAGATACCATCAGAAGCCTGCTAAATCTGATTGAGCTGGATTTTATAAACTCAAAATTTATAGTAAACTAGGTGGACCAGTTAAATCAAAAATATATTAGCCTGGTAACTCTATTATACCGGCACAGATCGCACTAAATAGTTACCTTTCCTTTTTTATTTTGCAGACACATTTAGATTTTATCATATCCACAATAGCCAAACCAAACATACCTTTAAATTCTGTCCATCAAAGGGTAAAGATCCGCTGACCAAAGTATAAAGAATAACTCCTAAGCTCCAGACATCCACCTCAGGCCCGTCGTACTTCTTCCCCTGGAAGAGCTCCGGAGCTGCGTAGGGTGGACTCCCACAAAAAGTGTCCAGTTTGTTGCCAACAGTAAACTCATTACTAAATCCAAAGTCTGCTATTTTAATGTTCATATCTGCATCCAGTAAAAGGTTTTCTGCCTGCAATATTAAGAAGAACATATAATCAATACAAATCTGACAAGCAAAAGGCAGAACGTTTGTAGTTTACAGCCCTTATTGGCCAGCTTAACTTACTAACCCTCCTTCATGCTGACCATACACATTATATGGCAGAATGATTGTAGACTTTAAATTCCCAGCTGCTGCATGTATGTGCACATCCGGCATCACTGTGCTGGTGGCGCTCAATCCGTGCCCATAGCACTGCACTGTGATCGCAATGTCATCAACAGCTCCCAGTCACGGTTTGTGCTCAGGAGCTGGTGAAGCATACTCCTGGTCATGTTTTTACTCTGACAGCCAATCACAGTGTTTATATGACCTGGAGACCATGAAAAGCATTACAACCATTAAAAAGGTCAGCTCCTGCTAGCAATGTAAGAATGACTTACATTAGCCAATTAAGAGTATCTCTGAAACAAATTTTCTGCATTAATCAATGGATAATAGATTGTAAGCTTCAAGGAGCAGGGCCCTCGTGTATTGTCTCATGTACTGTCTCCCACTATAATGTACAGCGCTGAGCAAACTTTTTGGCGCTATATACTGTGTAATAATAATAATAGTACAATACTCTACTACATTCAAAAAAGCCAATAATTCATTTAAACATAAGCATAACAACCAAATTCTAGAGGTCACCGATCTTTATTGGAATGTCTTATAGCTGCACTAACACTGAACTTCATCGATACGGACAAGCAAACAGCAGGGGTTATGCCATGTAAGTAGTGCAGGCACCTTCTGAAAAAACGAAATAAAATTTATTATCAGCAAGTTTAAAGCGAAGCTCCACCCAAAAGCGGAAGTTCCGCTTTAATGCTTTGTTCCCCGCTCCCCATTAAGGATTGGCACCCTTGGGGGGGGGGGGGGGAGCAGGTACTGCGATTTGCGATTGCCTAGGCCAGTGGTCGGCAAGCCGTGGCTCGCGAGCCACATGCGGCTCTTTACACGATTTAATGCGGCTCTTGTGTGCCGGGCGCCCGCTCCCCTCCCTCCTCTCAGGCGGCAGCGTGATCCAAAAAAAAAAAAAAAACCAGCCAGGGCAGCGCGCTCAAATGCAATGATTGGCCAGTCTCGCTGCCACTCACATCCTGATAGCCAGTGATTGGCTGTCAGGATGTGTGTAGGCAGGGCAGCGTGACAAACGTGAGAGGAGCTAGGCTCCTCTCACAGTTCGCCCTGAAGACCGGAACGGCGCGGGAACACGGCGAGAGGAACGCGCGGAGCAAAGGTAAGTGAATTGACATAGGGGGGACTTGGCTTACTACTTGGGGGGGAATAGTACTGTGGGGGATGAAATACTATATGAGGGATGAATTAATATGGGGGATGAATTACTATAGGGGGGATGAATTACTATAGGGGGGATGAATTACTATATGGGGGGATGAATTACTATAAAAATTTATTGAAACTAAAAACAGTGTACCATCCTATGTATTTTCAGTTTTAAAAATGTGGCTCTCAAAATAAATTTCAATCGTGGTTTTGGCGAGATTTGGCTCAGTTGAAAAAAAAGGTTGCCCACCACTGGCCTAGGCGATCGGAACGGAAGTTGTCCTCCCTCCCCGTAGTCTTCTGGGACACGTAACAGGTCCCAGAAGACTACGGGCATTCACAAAGCGCAGCGCTTCTCCCGCATGCGCAGTGGGCACTCGACTGTGAAGCCGCAAGCTGTAACAGCCGGTTGTCCACACTGAAGATGCCGGCGCCAGTGAGAGAAGACAGCCGGTGAAACCAGCGGTGATGAGGACACCACTGGACCGAGGGACAGGTAAGTGGCTGTATTTTAAAAGTCAGCAGCTACAGTTTGTGTAGCTGCTATTTTTTTTTTTTTTTTTTTGCTGGAACTCCACTTTAAGGGAAACTAGAATGTGTATTCTCAAAAGTACCATATAAATTGTAATAGTTTTGTGATGTTCACAATGAAAAGGTTTTCTGTTCTATATTTTCACTGAATGCTATGACTAGACTTGCTATGAATAGAGAAAACAGTGAAGTGCTACTAAAACACAGCTTGCATATGACCAAAAAAAGCAAACACGGTTGTCCTGTGACAATGGTACTCCTTACCATTATTTTTTTTTTAGGTTTTGGATAATGTGACGTAAAGAGAAAGAAATAAAATGAGAAGGGTTGCCTGTGTCCCCCTCATTTCCTGTGTCTTTCTTAGTATACTACTTCACAAGCCTCTGACATATGTATGTGTGGAAATATGAGCTTTGCTTACTGAGCATCTCTACAAAGATGATGCAAATGGTGCCTTCTACATAAAGGCATCCTCACAAACATTGCAGGAATGTTGGCCTTGCATTGTACTTCAAGAAATTAGAGTACCTGCGACCGCTGGAGCACCATAGAGAAGTTGTGGTGGACCATCTTACAGTGTGAAAAGCGATTAGGCAGATAAAAGCCCTCTATTGGTACCCTAGACATAAACGAAAGTAGAACCTTTGCAAAACTTTTGGGTACATAATAGTTTTGAATACTACTTTCAGGTATTTATGACCTCTGACAGAGAACTCTGCCTGTACGCTCTTTAAAGTGATTATAAAGCTTCAGAATTTAAAAAAAAAAAAAAAAAAAAAAAAAAAAAAAAAAAACTTTATACTTACCTGCTCTGTCAATAGTTTTGCATTGAGCAGCCCAGAGCCTCTTCTTCTGGAGTCCCCCAGACGACATTCTTAGCTCGTCCTCTTCTGTGTCTGCCAGCAAGTGCTTGCTATGGGGGCAGACATGTAGGCTTAATCCCGAGCCAGGCTGTGTGCATCTACTGACACAGTCCGACTCAGCCTCGCCCCTGCGCACGGTATTTGACTGAAAGCAGCAGGAGCCAATGGCTCCTGCTGCCTCAGCAAAGTCTGTGACAACAAGGAGAAAGCTGCAACAGACAGACACAGCGCCAGATCAAGTGAGGGCAAGTATAAAGGGAAGGTGAGGGAGGTGATACTGCTAGCTGGACATTTTTTTTTTTCTCTGAACGCAGGCAATGCATTAAAGGTAACAAATAGAATGCCTTTAGAATCACTTTAGCTATGCTTACATATGTTGAACACAAATCAGCAGTCATCTTGTGAAATGTTAGAGTTACAATGTTGCAGTCTGATCACTTGGGAGAGAAGTTACTGAAGAAATGCTTCCTCCTATCTGCAGAACACTAACACCACCTCAAACTCACTTAACTGGATTAAAAAAAAAAAAAATGAAAAGGACACAACCTTCAACAAAGCATAAAAAAAAAAAAAAAAGCACGTTGCTTCACTCACCTTAAGATCCCTATGAACAATATGTTTTTGATGACAGTACTGCACTGCAGACACAATCTGCAAAAGAGAAAGCAACATGTTACATTATTATTCTCACAGAAGCCTGCAAAGACCACAAAGGACAATTCCAGGCAAATGATGAAGCTGCTCCACTGAACTTGGTGCCGACACTAATATACAGGGATTTCTAAAGGCGGAGATACAGCAAGAAGCTTACAGCGGTTGTGTTTGGGAATACCCTTTCTACATTACAAACAGAATAACAAAAATGGCTCCCTCTAGAAGGGAATAAGTAGGACTGGTGTACTATATATGTCAAGTTAAAAATGTAAGAAAAAAAAAAAAAAAAAAAAAAACACATACACAAGTATACTCCTGAAATTTCTAAAGATAAGTGAAACTGTCACAAAGGCAACAGCAGAATGTCATACAACATCCCATTTACCCACAGATCTTGTTATTCAGCCCACAAATCTTAACATCGCACATACTGAGGATATCGTTATCTTGTGACACAGGCAGGCATTACGGAGAGGTAATGACTAGGACTATGGAAACTATGGCAACTATGACTATGGAAATCACATCATTAGCATAAGAAACAAGTTTGAAGGACATCAGAAGTTCAGCCATCAATGGAATCCCGCATTTAGATTCTAATGATTAAGCGATCCGTGACAAAACACTTGATACCATTCAACCCCCATAACACAGTGTATGAACGTTGCTTGTACGTGTGTGTGATGCTGAATTGTTATTAAACGTTTAAAGCCACTGACATGGCTTGTTTTTGTGTAGATTTAAGAGAAGTCATAAAAGTCCAATGTCCTCCTTTCAGTTTCTCAGCTGGGTGCTGCAGTGGCACAAGACAATGGCACCATCAGGTGATCAGTGCAGGTAGCGAAAGTGTCACCAATACACCAATGTGGATAACCAGAGAATTTATTGTTACAATGTCATAAGGTGAAGTTTTGGGGCCACCTAGGATCACTTCATCAAGGCAACACCGTTATTTAAATACAGAGTGCTGGGGACGCCTGGCCACAATGTAGTGTGAAATAAAAACACAATTAAATTCATTTTAATTCCAAGTTAAAAAAACTGTACAAAAGTCCAAAGCGGAGGATACAAAACTGAAAAGAACAACACTGCAATAGCAACTGCTAAAAAAAAGTGGATGTTTTTATTTAAAAGAAAAGTGCAGCTTCCAGTAAGTCTGGATTAAAAAATATGAATAATTAAGGAAAAAAAAAAAAAAAAAAAAAAAAAAAAAAAATAGATTTCAGGATTACAGCTACTGCTGTTTATGAAAAAAATGTCCTAAAATTCCCAGTCCCAATGGCAAAAGTAGTGTTAAAGGCAGGAGGTTTTTATCCTTATGGTCTTCTATGCTGTAAGTTAAACTTCTGCATGTAGCTCCCCCAAATACATACCTAAGCCGGATCTTGAACCAACGATGTGCACGCGAGCCAAGGCTCTCTTGCTCCTCATTGGTTCAGATACCGCAGCAGGGGCCATTGGCTCCCGCTGCTGTCAATTAGCGCCAGTGATGAGGAAGGGAAAGGCTAAGCCCCACTCTGTGCGTCTTATGGAGAGAGAGCAGGGCTCGGGAGCGAGCGCGCACGAGTGCCCCTCACGTAAGCAGCTTGCTCTGGGGACACTCAGAAGGGGGGGGGGGGGGGGGGGGTGGAAGAGCCAGGAGCACCCACGGGGAACTCAAGGAGAGGAGGCTCAGGGCTGCTCTGTGCAAAACCACAGGTATCCTGGTACTACTCAGAGCGGTGTAATACTCAGAGCGAGCTGACCCTGTAGGGTCGATGTAAGGAGGTGAGGGGGCATTTTGGCCACTAAGGATTCACATGCCATGGTACACATACCATCACTTGCATGAGCATTCAATTTTGAGCACTATTATTGGACATTTTATTTTGTGTGGATTCATATATGATTATGTTGGTTTTATTTATGTTTCTTTAATTTATTGGGGTGTACTGAGTGTCATTCACGAGTGCCAGATAGGACACTGGTCACATCTGCACTAATCTACTCCCATAGGGAATTCACGTGTTGCACTTTATATATTTTACCCCCTGTGTGCACTGGGGGGGGGGGGGGGTTGGATATACTCACTATATCATTTTATATATCTTATTTATCTATAGCGCTACACTGTTTTGTTATAAGTATGAAGTATGACATGATTGTTATTTTAAAAAAATCAATTCACTAATACTTTAAGCCTTCCTTTACACCTGAGCACAGCATATTCTTGATTTTAAAGCATTTTATTCAGGCATTTTACAGGCGTTTGCATGTATATCAAAGCACATCAGAGCAGTTCTAGAGGGGAAAAAAAAAAAAAAAAAAGTAAAAAGGTTTTTTTTTGTCCCAAGCATAGGGTGTAGAGTGAATGTGTACAAGTGTAAATCTGGACAATTAGCAAGAATGGGATTTTGCATGTTGGGAGTAGTCATAAATGGGAAAACAAGCTGAAAAATACTCCAGTGAGAAAGAGGGCTTAATTTCAATGTGCAAATGCAGGTGAATAATTCCATAAACTAGTGTTGTTAAGCACACCTGAAATTATAGTCTGTGTGTGTAAGGTGTGCCCCCTGACAGTTTGTAATCTGGAGGGATTATAGAAAACAAGTTCTGATATTGTAAATAAATCTAAGCATTAAAAAGAAAAAAAAAACACAAAAACAATGAACAGAAAACACAAAGCATTGTAAATGACTCATAGTGGCTATTTAGGGAAAATACGCTCAAATCACACTGAATGACTGTGCATGTCTCCTACACTGTCTACACTTTTTTTTTTGTGGCGAAGGGGAAATCTACGTTATGAAGGGAAATCTTTCCATATTACACACCTGCCGGAATTTGGCTCTTGCTTCCTTTTCCTTCATTCTTCCATGTGCAACCAAATAGTCAAACACTTCCCCTGTAGGAGATGAAGAAGAGAAATGAGAAAATGAAACTGAGAAGCAAATTGCTGTATTACTGCAAAATGAATCATGAACACAGCCTTCTATCTCAAAGCTGAAGTGTAATGCCAAAAAAAAAAGAAAAAGATGGAAATGCTTTACCGTCAATGAAATGTGTCCTTTGTGCTTCTGTGTTCTCTGTTAGCAGACATCTTCCTCCTCCAATGCCCCACTCTCGCAATCGTCTGATACAGAGGGGGTTAATAGAACCAAGAACTGTCACTCACTGAGTGTGCCCGACTATTTCCGCCAAGCTCCTACATTCATAAGAGCTGGTACTACAGGTAATGAAACAAGATCTATGAACGGAGAGGGAAGGGGAGACCTTTCAATCGTTTGCCAATCCTCCTTTCATAGATCCCATTTCATTCATAGAAGCTGTTGTACCAGCTTTGATGAATGGAGGAAGTGGGCGGAAAGTGCAATCTTCAGGAGTGCCTGTGACAGTGCCCTTAGCCCTGTTAACCCTCAGCACACCGAAAGATTACGATGATGGGGTGGGGCATCGGAAGAGGAAGTTTTGCTAATGGATGACACAGCAGCACAATGGACACATCTCACTGAAAGTAATAACCCCTGTGATTTTTATTATTAAAGTAATTGTAAATGCAAACAATTAAAAAAACTAAAAGAAAAAAAAAAAGCCCCAAAAAACATATACTTACCTGCTCTGTACAATGGAATTTCACAGAGCAGTCTCAAACCTACTCTTCTCAGGTTCCTCTGTCACTCCTGGCTCCTCTTCTCGGTGGTACCCCATAGGTACCCTGAACCGTGCTGCCTGTGTCTGTAAACCTCCCATTCCCATAATACTGGCTTTGATTGACAGCAGCAGGAGCCAATGGCTCCCCACTGCCTCAGCAAAGCCAGTGAGACCAGGAAATGAGGGAAGAGAAGAGCTGCAGATGTGCATAGGGATGGATCGAATGAGGGCTCAAGTAAGTAAAAGGGGGTGAGAGGGGGGAGATACTCACATCTAAAAATGTTTTACCTTACATGCAAGAAATGCAGTAAAGTATAAAATACCTAGGCTTTAGAAACACTTTAAACTTTAAAGCACCACACCAGCTAAATCTAGATCTTCATTTCTGACAGAATAAAAAAAAAAGTTAAAATCATTTTCAGCTTTCATAGAATATGAGAATGCAAATTCTGCTGGGTGAAATGCAGATCAGAAAGAGGTTACCTTCCGATTAAATGCAACTGTCATGGAATTCTGATTGATCTCAAAAGCAAATCAAAATGGATATCGCACTGATGTCATTAACAAATTCAAAGCCCATCAGCAAAGGCCCTTACTGTAAATCAGGACCGCTGCAGATATTCCACTGCTTACAAAAAGAGCAGTGATCACCTTTTGCTTTCATGCCCACAATGCGCTGCAGTGACAATTGTACAAAAACAAAAAACAAACAAACAAAAAGGGCACAAACAAGTAGCTAAAGCAGATAGATGGAACCAGACCACACTTGCAGTGGCCTGTTGTCTTCGTTTCTACAGCTATAGGCTGTAATAGGCTAAATAATTAAAAAAAAAATTAGATTAAAAATGTATGCATTAAAAATCAAGTAAAATAAAAAAAAAACTGACTCAAAACCATTATAGCATCCCTTAAAAAAATACAGCTAGTGAAGATGCTTATATTGGTCTATATCTTCTCCTGAAAACGGTCTCAAAAATCTGGCAGTGGGAGGTCTATGCTTTAGAATGATCTACTGCATTTCACATGCTGTCACTTTAACACTGCCTGCTGGCAGGAGAAATCAATGCACCAGAGGGTTTAGTTCATCAGTGTGGAGATGCTTTTTCACTGCCCAATCAGCAGGTTGTAGGAAGGTCAGAACAAGCTGCATTGCTTGCCTGCAGGGGGGGAAAAAAAAAATATGAGCAGCATGGCTACACTGCCTGCCATAAGTGCCTGAATGCCAAAACTGGCTGAAGACCTGTCAATGGGCTTTGGGCTTGTGACAATCACCGTTTGAGATGTCTGAATTAATTCAGCACTCAGGGAGGTGCACATGACCTGCAGTTGATGTCCTCCAACCTGCTTTAATCTCTTGCTACCCGTATGTGGTGGCATAGAAAAGCACATATTAGTGGTGAAATGAAATTCCTGGTTCCAAAACCAAAAATTCTGGATGCACTGCCCGAAAAATGAGACTGAAACGGAGTTTTTAAAAATTAATATAGTTTTCAAACGCAATTTAAAAAAAAAAAAAATACACTTTGATAAAAAAATTATATATATCCCATTTTTTTGTAAAATATGAAAGTTACGGTGAGTAAATAGATACCAAACATGTCATGCTTTAAAATTGCGCACGCTTGTGGAATAGGGTAGAGGAATAGAATTATTGCCCTTGTGGAATAGAATTATTGCCCTTGCTCTGACGTTCGTGGCGATACCTCACATGTATGGTTTGAACACATTTTTATATATGTGAGCATGGCCTACGTATGCGTACATCACTGCACACGGGGACGGGGGAACTTTAAACTTTTTTTTTGTACACTTATTTAATTCATTTTTTATTTTACACTACCCCTTCAAAAAAATTTTTTTAAATCACTTTTATTCCGATCACAAGGAATGCATGCATCCCTTGTGATAGAAATAAGTAGCGACAGGTCTTCTTTATGGAGAGATGTGGGGTCAATAAGACCCCACATCTCTCCAGTAAAATGTAAAGCATTAGATCAAAAAAAGCATTGATCTAGTGCTTTAGAAAAAGAAAAAGAAAAAAAAAAAAAAAAAAAAAACGGCCTTGTTTACAAGGCGCTGGAACCGGAAATGACATCGCTCTGGTCTTCCAAGGGAATAGAGATGAGTGGAGGCCATCTTTTCTTCACTGATCTCTATGCCCAGCACCGGGGATTGTTCGATGGTTTCTCAGGTAAGGCTGAGAACATCCGAGCGGCAACAGATGGAGAGGGGCTTGGTTAGTTTTCGGCTGAAATATTTCAGCCACTGATATTTTGGTGCATCCCTAGCACATATGTGCCCATGAGTGACAGAGCCTTCTATGCTGAAAAATGTGCTGCACTGTGGGCTGCCTGCACAGCGAATGAGATGTAAAAGACAGAACTCGGCCCATAATAATGATCGGAAGTTGGTGGAATGGGCTCCTGAGAAAATGTAAGGTCATTTCAAAATTGATGGCAGCAACACATCTCAAATCTGGGACAAGGCAAAAAAGCTGGCAAAGTACACGGGACTAACAAGGATAGTTGGAGGGCAAGTGGTTAAAGCCGTAGTAAACCACATTAAAAAAAAAAGAGAAGAAAAAAAAACCCTGCAAGGTAAAGGCATAATGTGCTAGAACACATTGCATACTACTGCCTAAGGACCTGTTCATACCAGGGCACTTAAATATGGATGTGCATTTTTTTCTATTTTTTATGAGTTGTGTTAAAATTTAAACACTGCATTTTACATATCTTTTCATTCCTAGTCACCTGGGGAAAATAGACATGTGATTCACAAAATGCATGGTGCGCCTCCACAGACTAATGGAAGATGCGTTTTTCAAACATGGCACTGAAGATGCAACAAGTGGTAACTGTTAGAATTTAAAGGGGAATATTTTGCATGAGCTTTTGGTGTTCTGAGAGGGTGCGTTTTAGTGTGGCAAAAGCGCACAGGAGTGCCTCATTCACACAGCAAAACAGCTGACTTGTACAGGCCTCCTGCACGGAGGCCTGTACAAGTCAATGACTGGCTGACAGAGGCCGTACCTATCCCACTGCCGTACGTTTGAATCCACACATTGGCGGTTACATATGGTTAGGGATGGATGGTCATCCCTATACACAGAATGTGTCCACAGCTGATCATCAGTCCCTAACAGAAAGTAACCATTCAATATATCATCAGTTCAAATCCCAACCTCGGCACTACGTGCTTAGTTTGCATGTCCTCCTTGTGCCTGTGGGAGTTTCCTCCGTGTACTCTGGTTTCCTCCCACAATCCAAAGACAGGTTGGTAGGTTAACTGTCTCCTGTCTAAATTGTCCCTTGTATGTGTATGTAGGATTGTGCGTTAGGGACCTTAGATCATAAGCTCCTTGACGGCAGAGACTGATGAGAAATGTACAATATATATGGAAAGTGCTGTGCAAATTGACAGTGCGATATAACTACCTGTAATAAATACATTTATGGATACATACCTACAGTGGCTCCTGGCAGTGGCTGTACACAAACACCTAGGCAATAGATATCTGCAGTATACGTATTCATATTTGGCCACGTGACTGAAGCCTTAAAGTCACTGAGAATAGGTGGGAGATGTTTCTTAGGCTAGGTTCACATCTGTGCGGGTGGTGTGGCTATGGATCCACACGAAAATCCGTGCAGCCGCAACAGCCGCACAGAGGAGTGTGGACCCGCGGGCAGGTGCCATTAATTCTAATAGCACGCCACCTGCACTGGAAAACGCAACCGTACTGGGAACCAAGGTTCCCGTGAGGGCTGCGTTTTCAGAAGAAGTGCTGGGACTTCTTCCCTGCGTGTCACAGGGCACGGGAGTCCATTCAAATGAATGGGCTCTCGTGCCCACGCAGAATGCGGCCCACGCGGCCACATATATGTGAACCAAGGGTTACAGATACCAAAAAATAATAATAAAAAAAACTAAACACAAAGGTTCTGTTGTAGAACTCACAGGAAAGTATAGATTGCCACAAGGACTAAACTGGAAAACGGTGGCAGGCCCAGACTGCACTACATGGTTTTGTGTAAGGTGGGTTCATAGGGAAAAAAAATAAGCCTTGCTGGTCTTTAAAGCTGTGATCGCTCGTTTCAGACTACTAAGCCCGTCCTTTGTAGAACATTTGAGGTTACGCCTAAATATCTAAATTTTCAGAACATGACCTTCTGCTCTGGCACTTTCCTCTGTAAAATAAACTTCCTCTCTCCCTGTACTTCATTAACACCGCTGACCACATAGAGCACACAGAGCATTGCTGCCAAAAACACACACTAAGCATTTACAAGGGAAACACCATTTTACAAGAACACGGCAGAGAAAAGCCGGCCACTAAGGTCTATAGAAAACTTGGCAGTATTCAGAACTCCTGCTTGGATGGAACTGTAAGCCCCAGCATGCATTACTAGCTTCTTTTCCTACAAGAGTGGCAGAGATACACAAAACAGAAACCAGTACAGATATAGAGATATTGATGTGGTTGTAAGGTGCAGTATAGGGTTCGATTTCATCGACATGGAACTCCAGAAACGCTACATGCAGTACATACATCCTCAAAATTCATAGACAGTGGACAGAAAAGGATCACTTTCATTCTGCAGATCTTGACAAGGCCATGTTGCTGGGAATTAATGTGAAACTACGCTTGCTCTAGTGACAACAAAAACTAATCAAAGTGATATCTCAACAAGGGGAAGACTTCAGAAGATTTTGCTGCTGTCTACATCAATTTTTTTTTCCATGAACTTGCTGATGGGGGAAAGTTGTAGAGTTCAGTTCAATTGCACTTTAAAACTGAAATGTCTACCCACTCTAACCTACTCTTAACCCTTTGAGGACCAAGGGACGTATTTGTCCCATGTTTTTAATTGCGTGTATCATCTGATTAAGAACTTAAAACTCTTTTTTTTTTTTTTTTTGGTTTGAGTCAAAATATTAGTTCTTATCAACAAACAACAAATGGATCTAGCTTTTTGCCAATTATTTCATGAAATGGCTTAGTTACAGCAACTGAAGTGTACGAACTTTAAAAACAAAAAATTTGATTCTTTTGGCGCTCCAAAATCTTACGGTCCTCAAAGGGTTAACCGCTTCTCGACTGTCCTATAGCAGAACTAATGCTACAGGGCTGCGCAAAAGCGAACGCGCGCACACACAGGTTATAAACGCCTCAGTTAATGAATGAAGATAATGCCTCAGTTTACCAATTTTTGCGCAATATGAGATGTATGTCGGTGTTGATTTTTAAATGCAATTGCTGGATTTTTCTTCTCTTCAGCTCATAGCTCATAGAGCTGTCACTTTGGAGTTAAAGGAAGCTTCGTTTCTTTTAAGAAACTAAAAAGAAACATGGATTCTTTTAACTTGGGGAAATAAACTAAATAGAGACTCTCTTTTAGCTGGGGGGAAAGTGACAGCTGAATCTCTGAGCTATAGTGGACAAAAAAAAAAAAAAAAGCGGTGTTTACATTTAAAAACCAGCACCATAATAAATAAAAAAAATGGTGTGGGGTCCCCCTCCCATCCATACCAAGCCCTTCGAGTCTACTCCTACGCCAAAAGTTAAAGAATGGACCCTTATCCGAGCATGATCCGGCAGATCAGGAAAGGGGGGGTAACGAACAAGCGAACGCCCGCCCCCTTTCCTGACCTGCCGGGCTGCATGCTCAGATAAGGGTCTGGTATGGATTTTGTGGGGGACCCCCCACACCATTTTTCTTTTAAATTTTGGCGTGGGAATTCCCTTCAAAATCCATACCAGACCGGAAGGGCTTGGTATGGATGGGAGGGAGGACCTCACGCCATATTTTTATTTTTTTTTTTTTAATTGCCGGAAATTCTTTTACATTCAGCTGTCAGTGGGGAACCCCGCTGACAGCTGAAACATTGACACATGGTTGTCACTACTAAAATACCGCATGACTCGATAAAATAACTCATGCAGTATTTTAGTAGCGTTTACTTTTTTCTGATCTCAGGAACGGATTAATTGGTTTTCAATGTATTCCTATGGGAAACGGCATTTCGGTTTACAAATTATTTATACACACACACATCACTGACCTAATATCCAAGTACCGCCCAGCACGCACACTCCGCTCCTCACAAGACCTCCTTCTCTCTAGTTCCCTGGTCTCCTCCTCCCATGCCCGAATCCCAGGACTTCTCCAGGGTGTCACCCATCCTCTGGAACTCCCTGCCCCAACCCATCAGATTATCACCTACTCTCCTCTCCTTTAGGCGCACCCTGAAAACCCATCTCTTCAGGGAAGCCTACCCCACCCCCTGCTAACTTGCCGACCTCCTCCACTCTTCCTACCACTCCATCCCCCACAGCTATCTCCTCCTGTGCCACCATCCCCTCCCTCCTAGATTGTAAGCTCAAAAGAGCAGGGCCCTCAATCCCCTCATGTTTTGCATTGTATTGTTATTGTTCTGTCACATGTTCTGTCCCCCTTTTTAATGTACAGCGCTGAGTGAACTATTGGCGCTTTATAAATACTGTATAATAATAATAACACACACACACACACACACACGTTATTCTGAATTTCTGGGTAGGGGGAGCACGCGCCGCCCTACCCGCACCACCATTGGCAGCTACAGCTGTCAATCACCGGATCCCGGCCGGAGATTCCCAGCTAGCACCCAAATATCACTGAGGAACGTTGACAGGGGAGAGGTCTGTATGTAAACAATTCAGATCTCTCCCGTCAGCGCCAGCATGCTGCTTTGTATTGCTCTGCATAGCAGAGCAATAGAAAGCAGCATGCTTACATAGTAAAACAGCACATAACATGAAACACAAACAGCACACAGTTAACCTTTTGATCACCCCAGATGTTAACGCCTTCCTGCCCAGTGCCATTAGTACAGTGTCAGTGCTTTTTATTAGCACTGATCACTGTATTAGTATCACTGGGGATGTCAGTGGCAGGTAGTCAGTTCCCCCCAGTGTCAGAATGCCCACCACAGTCCCACTGATCGCCGCCATTACTAGTATAAAAAAAAACAAAAACAAAAAAAACAATTCTATTATATATACACCGCCATTTGTAGACGCTTTAACTTTCACGTAATCCAATTAATTTACATGTATTGGGATTTTTTTTTTCTTAGCAAAGACATGTAACAGAACACATTTCGGCCTAGATTTATGACGAAATTTGATTTTTAAAATTTTTTTTACTGGATATGTTTTATAGCAAAAAGACAAAAAATAATTTAAATAAAAAAATTGTTGGTATTTTTTTGTTTATAGTGCAAAAAATAAAACACACAGAGGCAATCAAATACCACCTAAAGAAAGCTTCATTCGTGGGATGAAAAAAGGACAACATTTTAATTGGGTGTAGTGTTGCATGATCGCGCAATTCTCAGTTAATGTAATGCAGCACTGTATTGCAAAAAACAAATTGCCTGTTGAGGGGGGGTTAAATCCTCTGGAGGGCAAGTGGTTAAAACATGTCTGCTATCAAAGCCCAGGCTCATATTAACTTGTTGTACTCACCGCCACTCGCATATTCCATTATCAAGTAGAGCGTTTTCTCAGTTTCAATAACTTCAAATAATTTAACTGCATAGGAGAGAGAAAGAAATAAAACCCATTACATTTTTTTTTTTTACTACTGGTCTGCAAAGACAGTTCAGATAAATAAAGTGTTGCACAACACAAGATCAATCGTTTCCAGCTGTTTAGAGAACCAAACTATAGGAAACAAGCAATTTTTTTTTCTCCTAGATCTCCACGACAGTGCAAAATCCAACAATACAGAATCCAGGCGTGGAGGTTGGGGGTAATGAGCTTGCAGCCAGCAGTAATATAGAAGACAAAGCAAAGATATGCAGCATCCGGGGACTTAACTAAACCTACAGGGAAACTATGAGTAAGGGGTTTTAATGAATCCCCTATGTTTCCAGAATGGGATTTCCAGGAAACACTGAACACATATGTAAGGCCATAAACTATGCTCACTACATTAGCATTTAAAAATAATGGAGGCAGTTGTACATACAACACATACAGAAGGGAACGGTTTGGAAACAGAACGACCAATGTCCTGGTGACTACATTTAAAAGGGGCAATGTGTAGTAACTCACAGCAGCCAATCACAATTCTTTGGCCACTCTCATTTACAATATCTAAAATTAAATCTGACTGGCTGTTCTGGGCTCCATAGCATGTTGTTGCTCTTTCAATTAACTTATTAAACACCACTTACTTGGATGTAAACACTAAGAATGATTTAGCATTTAGGTTTTATTATGGGCAGCACAGTGGCTAAATGGTTAGCACTTCCGCCTGGCAGTACTAGGGTTGTTGGTTCAAATCCCAACCACAGCACCACCTGCCTGCAGTTTGCATGTTCTCCCTGTGCCTGCGTGGGTTTCCTCCGGGTACTCCGGTTTCCTCCCACATTCCAAAGACATGCTGCTAGGTTAATTGGATCCTGTCTAAATTGGCCCTAGCATGTGTATGTATGAATGTGAGTTAGGAACTTTAGATTGTATACCCCTTAAGGGTTAGGGACTGATATGAATGGACAATATATATGTAACAGGGGCGGACTGACCATTTGGAAACTCGGGCACTGCCCGAGGGCCCGGGGTCAGTAGCGAGCCCCCATGAGATGCCCCTGGTACCTTTTTCATAGGCTTTTTTGAGTATGGGCAAGGACACAGGGGCCCTATGATCCCTTATTGCCCGGGGGCCCCATGAGTTGTCAGTCCGCCCCTGATATGTAAAGCGCTGTGTAAATTGACAGTGCTATACAAGTACCTATAATAAATAAATTACTTTTATTCCCCCTTAGTTTCCTCTCAGTTCCGCTGACCTTCTGCAGTACTTCCATCTACATAAACCTCTGTGATGGCTGCATGACATCAGGGTGAGTTTCCCAACGATGACAGCAGCGGACCATTCCTGTGTATTGTATGTTGAAATTGTTACTTTGTGCTGCTGTGTGTTCACCGCGTCACAAAGACTTCTGATAGAGACTACCATTGGAAGACAAGGACAGAACATTGTCACCCTATAACAGACGTGTCTGCACAGAGACCATCTTGTCAGGATCACCAGGGATTATTTGAACTGAAAATATAGACAACTTTTGAAGTTGTTTTAACATGTGAAATCTTCAATGAGGTTTTAACATGTGAAATCTTCAATGAGATTTTAATGACTGGGTATACATATCCTTAATGGTCAGCCTACCCTAAAGTAATTTCAGCTCTTTAAAAGCCTTCCAGATCTTTCATCTCAGAGACCAGGGGTCTCCCATCAAGAATTCAGCAGAAATGTGATTCCCACTATGGCCGTAGGGTTACAGTACTTGGGCAAGTCAGGAATTCCAATTAGGACTGTTTATTTCAGGTACTTATACAGCGCTGTCAATTTACAGTGCTTTACACATATATTGTACATTAACATCAGTCCCTAACCCTCAAGGGGCGTACAATCTAAGGTCTCTCACTCACATTCAAATATACACATAATAGGGACAATTTAGACAGGAGCCAATTAACCTACCCAGCATGTCTTTGGTATGTGGGAGGAAACCAGAGAAAACCCACACAGGCACAGGGAAAACATGCAAACTCCAGGCAGGTAGTGCCATAGTTGGATTCAAACCAACGGTAGTGCTGCCAGGCGGAAGTGCTAACCACTTAGCCCTGTGCGCCCATTAAGAATTCAGCATAAATGTGAAGCCCACCGTTACAACAGGGTAACCGAACTTTGGTATGTCAGGAATCCTGATTAGGACTGTTAACAAAAACATTAGCGATCAATGGCAAAGAACAGAATTGACTGCTAAACACATGAAACAATTGGCTTCCTACGGCATAAGCTACATAAGTAGTATGTAGTAGCTATCAAACCATACACTACCACTTGCTACAGGTGTAGCTTACAACACGGGGAGCTATTTTTCTCATTCATATAGCAATCAAGTTTCTTGACTAAGCAACTAATAATCGCAGCTCCAGCAAAGCAAGAATATTTAAGACCGCTTCAGAATGTGTGCCTTCAGCAATGGAAGTTTCCATTTTCTATCCTGACATATTACATTTAACTTAATAATCACATGTCTAGAAATTAGATTTTTGTTCTGCCCATAAAATCCTTTGCACTGGAGTTCATTGAAGGACACAGTCAGTTTTTTAGATCTTGACAGGGTTGCTTATGCCACCTGCAGAAGCAGGACGCTAGGTGTAACAAGAAAAATACACTTGGAACAGCCCTGCTGGTGGCCAAACTCCCCCCCATATCACGAATATACAGAACAGTTAGTAAATCAGCAGAATTGAGAATAAACCGGAACCGAGACAGAAAGAAAAAAATAAAAAATAGGGAGGGGTTCTCTGTCCTTCAATGATCACAGACAAAAGGAATTTATGGTAAGTACCATATTTTTCTCTTCCATTCATTGAATAACAAAACCATATATTTAGATCTTGACAGATGGGATGTCCCAAAGCAGTGCCAGAGACAAAAGGGTGAGCTCAGAATTAAAAAAAAAAAAAACAAAAAAAAAACCAAAGACAAACAAACAAACTGCAGAACTCAAACTGTTTCCTCCAAATTTTTCCAACCAAAACTGCCACCCACAGAAGCAGCCACATCAACCTTGCAGAACTTGGTAAAAGTGTGAACAGATGACCAGGTAGGTGCCTTGCAAACCTAAACAACAGAAGCCGACAGGTGAAAGGTGAAGAGACACTCAGCGCTCTGGTTCAATGAGAAGAAAACTGTAATCAGAGGTTCTACAAGGGGAGAAAACTGTAATCAGAGGTTCTACAAGGGCAGAAAACTGTAATCAGAGGGTCTACAAGGGCAGAAAACTGTAATCAGAGGGTCTACACGGGCAGAAAACTGTAATCAGAGGTTCTACAAGGGCAAAAAACTAATTGGAGGGTCTACAAGGGCAAAAAACTGTAATCAGAGGGTCTACAAGGGCAGAAAACTGTAATCAGAGGTTCTACAAGGGCAAAAAACTGTAATCAGAGGTTCTACAAGGGCAGAAAACTGAACCATTGTCTGACAAATCTACCTGGAAACAGTAGATGATGCCGCTTGTCCCTTCCTGGGGCCATTTTTGACTATGAACAAGGAAAACAAACAAAAACTAAGCTCTATGTTGCATATGGAGGGTTTGGCCACCAACAGGGGCCACCCCAAAGGGAGTTTTTATTTCTGCTGCGCCTAGTATCCTGCTCCTGCAGGTGATGTAATCAAACTCATCCATCAAGTTCTAAAGATTTGGCTTCATCCATCAATGAACGGAAGAGAAAATATAAATATGCAATACACAAAACAACTTGTAATTCAAAACGAAGATCTAAAAGACCCTGAAGGTTTCAAATAGGAGCTTCATTAAGGTCAGACACTTAATCGAAAAAGTAAATAAATAAAATGAAGATCTGTAAGCTGGTCACACTCAGAAGATTCTTTTGACATAACATACATTTTGGGTTTTTATTTTTTTTTTTTTGCTTTAAAAAGGCAATATTAAAAGGTTCATTTTATTTGGTTTAAAACAACAAACACGCTAAAGTTGCCTGCTATGTGCAATGGTTTTGCACAGAGCAGCCTTGATCCTCCTCTTCTCAGGTCCCCTGCCGGTGCTCTGGCTCCTCGCCCTACTGAGTGCCCCTATAGCAAACCTGTGTGTCCACAAAACACACAGAGCAAGACTCAGCCATGTCCCCCGCCCATCACTGGCTCTGACTGAAAGCAGCAGGAGCCAATGGGGAACAAGACAGCCGAGAGATCCTTAGCTCTTTTGCACATCGCTGGATTGAGATCAGGCTCAGTTATTTATTTGGGACAGTTGCTGGGGAGCTGCATGCAGAAGTTTTTAACCTTTTTCTTCCTTTACAACCACTGTATAGTTTCACGGAGTAACCATTCATTCATGGCATCACACAGCAGAGTGGTGCATTGAGCTGTTGGGAAGTGACATACAGAGTAATACAATGTGCTGTGGAGAATCAGAGACAAACTGAAATGAACATTATAACCCTTGGAGGAACAACTGCTCCCCATGATACTCAAAGTGTTCTAATGTATGTGATGGATTCCCAATTGCAAATTGTTTCTTCAATGTTGAGATGGCAGCTTCCACCTGAGGCTTCTCACACAGGCACTGTGCTATGTACACTCACCTATATTAGGATGATTTAAAATCTTCATTATTCGTACTTCCCTGAATAGCTGAAAGGAGAAAATAAAAAAACATTCAAAAAACAGAACCAATGAATTTGGAAATATACTCTGCATCACAAAGATTATATGTATAAACAAGATACAAAAGATAAATAATTCCCCATATAGTACAGTACTAATATTCCATGTGATTCCATGTGTTGATAAAATGTAAAATTTCCACTCAAAAGGTGTTTTTTATAAACGTTCACAAAGATACATTTTAAGTAGAGCAGGTGGTGGCTTTCTTTTATGGTTATGTGAATATCTCCATGAACACAATTTCAATGCAGCGAGGATGGGGTTGAGTGTTATTACAAAAATTGTATGATGGTCAGAAAGCCACTGTTCATTGTCAAAGTTTAATGAAGGACAGAAAAGATGTCGCTGGCCAATTACAAGCCTGAAACACTGGCCACATAGAAAATTTGGACAAGATTGTTGAATAAGGTCTTCCCAGACATGCTACAACCCTCCCTGTACACCCCCCAGGGCTTCTTCCCCTGCACCCCAAACATGCTACAACCCTCACTGTACACCCCCCCAGGGCTTCTTCCCCTGCACCCCAAACATGCTACAACCCTCACTGTACACCCCCCCAGGGCTTCTTCCCCTGCACCCCAAACATGCTACAACCCTCACTGTACACCCCCCCAGGGCTTCTTCCCCTGCACCCCAAACATGCTACAACCCTCCCTGTGCACCCCCCCCAGGGCTTCTTCCCCTGCACCCCAAACATGCTACAACCCCGCACTGTACATCTCCCCAGTGCTTCTTCCCCTGCACCCCAAACATGCTACAAACCCACACTGTACACCCCCCCAGGGCTTCTTCCCCTGCACCCCAAACATGCTACAACCCACACTGTACACCCCCCAGTGCTTCTTCCCCTGCACCCCAAACATGCTACAACCCGCACTGTATACCCCCCTAGGGCTTCTTCCCCTGCACCCCAAACATGCTACAACCCTCACTGTACACCCCCCAGGGCTTCTTCCCCCTGCACCCCAAACATGCTACAACCCAGCACTGTACATCTCCCAAGGGCTTCTTCCCCTGCACCCCAAACATGCTACAACCCACACTGTACACCCCCCCAGGGCTTCTTCCCCTGCACCCCAAACATGCTACAACCCACACTGTACACCCCCCCAGGGCTTCTTCCCCTGCACCCCCAAACATGCTACAAACCCACACTGTACACCCCCCAGTGCTTCTTCCCCTGCACCCCAAACATGCTACAACCCGCACTGTATACCCCCCTAGGGCTTCTTCCCCTGCACCCCAAACATGCTACAACCCTCACTGTACACCCCCCCAGGGCTTCTTCCCCCTGCACCCCAAACATGCTACAACCCAGCACTGTACATCTCCCAAGGGCTTCTTCCCCTGCACCCCAAACATGCTACAACCCGCACTGTACACCCCCCCAGGGCCTCTTCCCCTGCACCCCAAACATGCTACAACCCACACTGTACACCTAGGGCTTCTTCCCCTGCACCCCAAACATGCTACAACCCGCATTGTACACCTAGGGCTTCTTCCCCTGCACCCCAAACATGCTACAACCCTCCCTGTACACCCCCCCAGGGCTTCTTCCCCTGCACCCCAAACATGCTACAACCTGCACTGTACACCCCCCCCCCAGGGCTTCTTCCCCTGCACCCCAAACATGCTACAACCCTCCCTGTACACCCCCCCAGGGCTTCTTCCCCTGCACCCCAAACATGCTACAACCCCGCACTGTACATCTCCCCCCAGTGCTTCTTCCCCTGCACCCCAAACATGCTACAACCCACACTGTACACCCCCCAGTGCTTCTTCCCCTGCACCCCAAACATGCTACAACCCACACTGTACACCCCCCCAGGGCTTCTTCCCCTGCACCCCAAACATGCCACAACCTGCACTGTATACCCCCCTAGGGCTTCTTCCCCTGCACCCCAAACATGCTACAACCCTCACTGTACACACCCCCCCAGGGCTTCTTCCCCCTGCACCCCAAACATGCTACAACCCAGCACTGTACATCTCCCAAGGGCTTCTACCCCTGCACCCCAAACATGCTACAAACCGCATTGTACACCTAGGGCTCCTTCCCCTGCACCCCAAACATGCTACAACCCGCACTGTACACCCCCCCAGGGCCTCTTCCCCTGCACCCCAAACATGCTACAACCCGCATTGTACACCTAGGGCTTCTTCCCCTGCACCCCAAACATGCTACAACCCGCATTGTACACCTAGGGCTTCTTCCCCTGCACCCCAAACATGCTACAACCCGCACTGTACACCCCCCCAGGGCTTCTTCCCCTGCACCCCAAACATGCTACAACCCCGCACTGTACACCCCCCCAGGGCTTCTTCCCCTGCACCCCAAACATGCTACAACCCGCACTATACACCCCACCAGGGCTTCTTCCCCTTCACCCCAAACAAGCTACAACCCACACTGTACACCTAGGGCTTCTTCCCCTGCACCCCAAACATGCTACAACCCGCATTGTACACCTAGGGCTTCTTCCCCTGCACCCCAAACAAGCTATAACCCCACACTGTACACCCCCCAGGGCTTCTTCCCCTGCACCCCAAACAAGCTATAACCCCACACTGTACACCCCCCAGGGCTTCTTCCCCTGCACCCCAAACAAGCTATAACCCCACACTGTACACCCCCCAGGGCTTCTTCCCCTGCACCCCAAACAAGCTATAACCCACACTGTACACCTAGGGCTTCTTCCCCTGCACCCCAAACAAGCTACAACCTGCACTATACACCTAGGGCTTCTTCCCCTGCACCCCAAACATGCTACAACCCTCACTGTACACCCCCCCAGGGCTTCTTCCCCCTGCACCCCAAACATGCTACAACCCAGCACTGTACATCTCCCAAGGGCTTCTACCCCTGCACCCCAAACATGCTACAAACCGCATTGTACACCTAGGGCTTCTTCCCCTGCACCCCAAACATGCTATAACCCGCACTGTACACCTAGGGCTTCTTCCCCTGCACCCCAAACAAGCTACAACCTGCACTATACACCTAGGGCTTCTTCCCCTGCACCCCATACATACTACAATCCCCACTGTACACCCCCAGGACTTCTTCCCCTGCACCCCATACATACTACAATCCCCACTGTACACCCCCAGGACTTCTTCCCTGCTCCCCATACATACTACAACCCCCACTGTACACCTAGGGCTTCCTCCCCTGCACCCCATACATACCACAACCCCAATAGTAAACCCCCAGGACTTTCTTCCCTGCTCCCCATACATACTACAACGCGCACTGTACACCTAGGGCTTCCTCCCCTGCTGCCCATACATGCTACAACCCCCACTGTACACCCCAGGGCTTCCTCCCTTGCTCCCCATACATGCTACAATCCACACTGTACCCCCCCCCCCCCCCCCCCCCCCCCCGGGCATTTTCCCCTACATGTACAATGTACAACCAGAGCTTCTGCACCAACACATGCAACAATCCCCACTCTACACACCCAGGCCTTCCTGCCCTGCTTCCCATACATACGACAACTCCCACTGCACAACCACAGCTTCCGTGTCCCATACATGTTAGAACCCTCAGTGTACACCCTGAGCTTCCTCCTCTGCTCCATCTACTCTGTGAAACATCTGACCTCAGTCAACATTGACAGCCAAGTTTTACTCGCAGCTCTACAGTAGGAGTGCTCAACCTTTTGAATAGCAAGTGCCACAATGAACTGTGGGGTTTTACATCTCCCAAACCACAAATGTAAACAAGCCCTTAATGTCCTGGGCCCCTAGAAGTCTGCTTTCTCACCGATTCGCTGCAGTATACCAAGGCCCGAAATTTCTATTGCATCTTGTGCATTCAGGCGTTTTGGTGCACTTTCACAAAACACACCAAACCCACGGGATATAATAGAAGTCTAAGAGCAGCTAACCCGCAGGTGCATTAGTGTGAAAGCAGACTAATAACCACCAATAATAATAGGTGCTAATATGCCCTTTGCAGTGTATGTGATATCCATTACACTGACCTTTTCCAGCTTCTGCTGGTATCGCTCTCCAGGCTGCTAGGACGGTCCCAGGTGAAGTGCACTTGGAATCACTCTACCTGGGACAGGAGCTGATGCTATAGAGGAAGCATTGGCCTATGTGGCTCCTGCTCCCTCTGTGGCCACTTGCTTACTCTGCTGCTCTGGGATGGCAGGTTGGCAACACATTCATCGTGATCTGGGCATGCTGACCCACCATCCTACAGCATGGGCTTCCCCATGGGTTTGAGGTCAAGGGCCACATCAGAGGACTTCAGGGGCCACAGGTTGAGCACCCCTGCCCTATAATACTGTCCTTTATGCCTCCACCTAGCAGCTACATAAAAGGTTATGTAGGGAGTAGAGCGAAGGGGCTGAGGAGCTGGGCCACCACAGAGTGTAATTAGACAATCCCATAAAATGAGGGATATGACGTGAAAGTATTTATTTATTTCAGGTACTTCTATAGCGCCGTCAATTTACGCAGCGCTTAACATATATATTATACATTCACATCAGTCCCTAACCCTCAAGGGGTGTACAGTCTAAGGTCCCTAACTTACATTCATACATACACATACTAGGGACAATTTAGACAGGATCAAATTAACCTACCAGCATGTCTTTGGAGTGTGGGAGGAAACCGGAGTACCCGGAGGAAACCCACGCATGCACAGGGAGAACATGCAAACTCCATGCAGGTGGTGCCATGGCTGGGATTCGAACCAACGCCCCTAGTACTGCCAGGCGAAAGTGCTAACCATTTAGCCACTGTGCTGCCCAAAGTATGATGTGGATGTGCTTGGCAAATTACTTTTCCTATAGAAGGCAAATTTGCTAGTAAGTCAGTTAAAATGTATATTTGTAGTGTTTTTTTCCTTTGCATTAACATTTTAACAGTCTTGACTTTTCTGTGTTTTTACCTGCAATTTAGGTCGATGACAGGGTGTTTTAGGAATGACGTGTGTGGGCATCATTGAA